CGACATTCGTCACCCAATTATACAGAATGAAAAATTAACCTTCTTATAATTGATTAACTTCGATTATTCTAACGCAATGTCATAGTAACAGCTAGCCTCATTCGGGTAGAGATAAACAAGGACACGCGCAAGAGTGCGCTTGCATGAAAAAGCCTTAAAGATAATACGAAAGTGCAAAAAACTTTCTTCAAGAACGTTGTATTCGGTTCTTGGTACGAAGTTGAAGTGCTGCATTATGTAGAGCACATGCATGTAAAACATATAAGGCTGAATAAAAATCTATCCTTTTTTCGTGCTATTAATAAGGGAATACAATGACATTTATGAGCTTATTATTATATAAGAAAAAGCGAGACTCGCATGGTTAGCGCAATGATGCAAACAACTAACGTTATTTCTACGTGATAGACGCAAAATTATAGGGGGTAAGATAATAAGCTTCGCGAAGATAAACGACAAAAACCATGAGGAGGGTTGTCGAGCTGGTCGAAAATTGGGTAGCCCGGCTGCGTTGTCGTCTTCATCTTCGTCTTCGTTTCTAGCGCCTCGAGATTAAAAATATGCACACACGTGTAAGACATAATATATAGTTTCATTATGCTCGCGCGTAATAGAGCGTTGAACCGGCAAGAGGAACGACTCGCGCGCAAGCGACTTTTTTGCGTGTCGACGCTGCCGCCATACATATGCGTACGCGCACTTTTCGTTTTGTACAATATTCGTTGTTGTTGCTCTGTTTTTTACGCTCGCACATACTATAGGCGCGCGCGCGCGCTCGCTCCCTCGCTCTCGCACCCCTTCCTCCACCCCGCCACCACTTATTCCTCACTCTCTCTCTTTCGCTCGTTCGCTCGTTCGCTCGTTCGCTCGTTCGCTCGCTCGCTATCTCGGTTTATCTTTCTCTCTGACTATATTCGGAGACACATGAAAGTATTCTAAAAATCTAAACGGGCGCGTATGCACACACGTGGTCTTATAATGGCGCATGTGCGCGTGCATTGACGTCTCCGCGGCGAATCGATCGACCCGATCAACATGGGATGAGGCCCCGCAGCTGCCAGAAAAGCTCGTTTTCCGGCTCTCCCAGTGGCTTCGTATGGCCCGTTCCCACCGACGACTCGGGCCCGGGACGCCCCCACCGAAAACAGCCTGAAATTAGATCCACCTGACAGCGACTGGGTTGGGCTGCTTGTGGCTGTTGACACAACGTAGTTAACGAGACCCGCAACCATCCTCCAGTAACATATTAACGATTTACCATCCTTGGACGCTCTTTCGATGCTGTGATTAATTACTTTGACATGGTTTGCAACTACCCCCGGGGAAAGTATAGGATCACTTTACCAAATTTTTCCGTTTACAAACATATCGTGCCTTATATTTTCAGTTTTATAGCTCATTTAAGAAAAAAACGTAAACGAAACTTACTTGAATTTTCAATATTTTATCTTTCTCTCTGTTGCAAATATTTAACCTTGATAAAATTGGCTATTTCGTAAGATCTTTCGAGATGCGAATATTCAAGTAGAATTTGTTAATGTTCGATCAAAGATCCGGTAAATTGAAAGTAGGAAAAAAAAGATATTACGAGCTCGATATTTAAACGTATTACAATTATACGTAATTAATTTGTAAATTGAGCAGCTTTTCGATGTTTGTACTATTAGAGATAGGTAGATTGACGATTGCTCGTATTAAAATTATTTGTGTAATGAAAATTATGCTACAATAGATAATTGACAAAAAAAAAAAAAAAAAAAATGGAAAATAGGCCGAAGTCTCGGATTGTGAGTGAGGAAAAGTAATTTAAGAATAATGAGAATAGCTCGAACGGAATTTAATTATATGGAAATTTAATATAATAATTTATTTATATGATGAAATAAATTATATGAACAAACAACATCTCTAACATTTTAATTAAAACTCACATTAATAAGCGTAAATCTTACAAAATCCTGTATTTTTAAACGAATGCTTTATAATAAAGAAAATTAAGCAATTCTTCAATAAAAATGTTAATCTTATTATTTTGTTAAATTGAAAACGATAATATTACAAAATAAGCATTATTTCTTTTAAATATTAATTACTATAATCGAATAATGGACGGCTAAGGTGATAGATATCGTTTATTTATTGAATTTTTAATGCACAATCATAGTACAGGTTACGGGGCTCTTAAAAAAATTAAAAAAAATTATAAGAAAAAAATAGCGAAGGAGATATAAATTTCATAGAGAAAATTATTGATATAAAATTATTGGCAATGGTATTTTCACTCTATTGGGATTAGAATATTTAGTTTACTCAATATTTAGATTTAGATAAAGAGTTTTTATATTCACTATACAAATATTATGAGTCAAATAACGACATTTCCTACAAGTGTCTTCTCTTTTTCAAATAACAGGTTCGATCATTCTTTCATTTAACAAAATCAAACGTAAAATTTTAATAATAATTCTATTGAGCATTCATTGAAGTTGTGATACGATGAAACTTTTTTTTTTCTCTTTGTTTATTTTTGTTTTTTCGTTCTTTAACATACATTTGTAAACACAATGTTTTATAATGTAAACATCGAATTTTGTTTATAGAACACTTGTTCAATAATATTTGTTTACGCGTCTTTGTTATTTCAGTCAAATTTCGATAGGCCAATAGAATATAAATTTTAACTATTGTCTATTTAAAAATTTAATCGAAAGTCGTGGCATTTAAAAGTACTGGAATAAAGGCCCCAAATAGATAGAGAATCGTCTTATGCTAAAAGTATGCTTGTATTCAATATTTTCATAGCAATTTATTTAATAATTTACTCTCATAACTACTTTACAAGTCCGTTGTGAAATAAAATTTAAGAACGTATGTAAATGACAATGGCAATCGTTTCGCTGGCTAAATAGATATTGAACATATGTTAAACCAGTGTTTCTCTCGCATAGGTTAGGAAAAACGCAGGGGGCATCCTCATATCGAAACGAATATTTACAATTAGACAATTAGAAATCGCGCACAATTTGTAATTGCAAATTTAGCTGGAAAAGTGCGTACTTGCTTCGCACTAAGGATGATAGATTCGCTGTCCACAGTCACTTATGCGCCGTAAATGAATGTTATACAATATATTTAATTACAATTTCGAGATTAATAGTAGCTTCGCTTCTGTACACATGCTGATTCGACGGAAAAAGTCTAATCTTTGCTAATACATAATTGACGTCAGTCACTTCCTGACTTACGATTCTCGATTAGAAAATTTTGGAATCAAATTTTTATTTATTAACACATTGATTGATTGGGCGCGTGTTTACGCTGCGTCCATTCACAAAACATACAAGTAGGGATAGAAAGAGAAAACAAAATGAAATAGATAAACGCGCGCGCGCGCACAAACACACACACACACACACACACACACACACACCCACACACACCCACAACTAAATGCAATTGTCCTGATGTTTTGAAAGTCAATCGCCGAATTATTATAATCTCGACACTGTCGATTGGGTCGCCATCAAAAATTACGCACGCTAAAGCATGTTTGACATCGAACGAAATATCCGAAAAATCCGTATTACAGATACCGTTAGCGGTGGCTACAAAAAAAGAACAACGACAAAAGAAATGAAAGAAAAAGAAAAATAAAACGATAAAAAAAAGAAAAAAAAAAAAAAAAAGGAAAAAGCGACGATAAAGACATTGGCTCGAGCCGTTGAGTTACGCAATCGGCCAATGAATTCGTGCCCGATCGCATAAATAAATACCTCTTGCCTTCCAAGAATCATGTAGAAAATAAAGTTTGGAAAATGTGAAGGGAGACAGGCAGATATTAGCGAATAATTTCCTGTCCAATGGCTGGCTAGAGCCTTCGCCGGGGTACTAACTAACTGTTGGCCTTTGGTATCCAAAGGCCAGAGTAATAGTCGTGCCAGAGACAGCATCTTGATAAAGAAGTCAGGGTGTACGGTAAAAATGAAGGAGGCACGTCGTTCACCGAGTGGTGCGCGAGGTGCGCGGCGGCAGTCGTTCGACGAACATGGCGCGGGGGTTTTGAAAGCCTCGGCTCGGTTATCGGACGCTGCGCGGCCACGGTGACGGCGGTGTCAGCGGTGTCAGCGGTGGCGGCAGTGGCGGCGGCGATAAATTCGGCGGCTCCATTAAAAACGTGCCGGGACGCACGATGGAAAAAGCCTCCCTCGTAAGGAGCGTCGAGTGGAATGGTGCGCGTCGTTTTTGCCGGGCCACCATTGGCCTGGGCCGTCGTCGTCACGAGCGAAAGGCGCCGTCGGGGCGATACCCCGAGTGGCGCGATGCAACCGAACGCCGATAAGAGATAGGCGAGATCGCCCGAAGGAGAGTTGGCCACGCGAGTGGGCGGCGCGTCCAGGAGCGCTTCCTTCTTCGGCCGCGTCACGTCGTGGGACGTTGGGGGGCGAGAGTGGTGGGGACCGGCGGGCCGCAGATGTTGCCCCCGTCTCGGCATTATCGCGGGCCTCACTCGCAAGTTGGCCCGCGTCGACGTCGTCTCGTCGTTCGCGTCTCGCGCTCGTCTTCATGACAACCCCCGCGACCGGCGAGCCTCCGCACCGCCCGGCCGCGAGATTAAGGAGCCGAACGCCGCTGCCGCCACCGCCATCGCCACCGTCACCGCCACCGTCACCGCCACCGCCATCGCCACCGCCATCGCCACCGCCATCGCCACCGCCACCGCCACCGCCACCGCCACCGCCACCGCCACCGCCACCGCCGCCACCGCCGCAACCGTAGCCGCAACCGCCACCGTTGCCGCCGCAACAGCAGCAGTAGCAGTAGCCGTCACCGTCACAACCGTCGCCGCGACGCTGTGATAACGTAGCCCGTGCCAGGGGCACATGCGCCCAACGCCCCGATACCGTGACACCTTCGCGACTGCCCCAAGCCAAATTAGCCGAATAGCGATAGCGGTCTCTCGACGAGATTCGCGATCTTTCCTCGAAAGCTCGTGGGGGGAGCTTGAGATCCCGGTACCCGTGGCCACTAGCAGTAACGCGACGACGCATCAACAACGACCCTGGAGGAGCTGGGTGGCTCGAGTGCACGTAATCGCGAATGAAAGCCCGCAAGTCCCAGCCAGAGATGCACCTGGACGAAGAATTGCGGCACGCGCTGGCGAGGGTCGCCGAGCGAGAGGCGGCCAACGTCTGCTGGAACGGGCAGAGTAGCGAGTGGGAGCAGACGTACCCGGGAGCCTGGGGGAACGCCGGCGAGCAGTCAAGCCACAGGCTACCCTCCGTCGGCACTGCCTTTTCCTTCTCGCGAAGTTTTGCCGCGCCGGCTGGACATCAGCCGGAATCCGGCTGCCAGCCCTACCTCTACCAGGAGGCCTTCTCCGGCCAGTGTCACGACGAGGCGGCTCTTCTCTGCTTCCCCTCGATGCTCCAGCAATCGCAGTTGGATATCGAGGAGTCGCTCCAGGCCGTCGATGATTTCGATCTGAGCCTCATCAGGTACGTAAGTGACCGATTATTCCGGATGGGACGGTCCTCGGGACGAGTTGGGTAGTGGTTTGTCGGGGGGGAGGGGGGAGGGGGGGGGGGACGGGACGGCAGCTCGAAGACCACCGATTGATTCGCGCGCTACCGTGCTCGATTGGGGGACAAAACGTCCCCGCGTTATCCACGTTGTACGACGGAGCGGTCGATCGAGACGGATTAAGAGCCTATTTAGCGGATCCAACGGACATTAACGAAGCTCCTTAACCCGAGGACGCGACTGCTTATCGCTCACTCACATAACCTACAAAATGATAAAATTTAGACTGAAGTGACAGTTCTTATTGAATGTAAAGCTAAGCGGCGAGTGCTTGAATTACCGATGATACGTATCTTGCTCTCATTGCGTTTGCCACCTTCGTGTCAATTACAATGCTAAAATACAAGGACAATCGGAGCGAGCATTATTTAATGGAATATCTCGATGAATATCCGCCTCTTGTTCACCTTCGGTTTCTCCATTGCTCGTCGATTACGCGGGCGCATCATCGAAGCAAAGATTCTCATTTTTCAACAAATGTACAATATATCGTTGCTCGTAGTGCGCGATTTGTATTTAAAGAGAGGCAGACATCAAATCATTATGCGAATGTATCTTGGAAATTTTCACGATTCTCGCATACGGAATATTATCTAAATATTTGCCCGCCTGCAAATTACATTTCAAATCCCCAATATTGACGCTCCAAAATTTAGAAAGTTAATGCTGTTAAAATAAGCTGTGGATAAAGTGAGTCGATTTCGCTCGGGCCGATCGGGCTACGTTTTCGAATATATCAAATAAATCATTAAAGCAGCTGGAAATAATGGCGAGCGACGCAAATCGAGCAGTAACGAAAGACGTGCTTTTGTCGGTTTAGAGGTGACCCGACGACTCTGTCAACCGTCGAGCTATCCCAGCAGATGCCACAGCAGTCCTCCTCGGACTACGTTCTCCAGGACATGCCGCATCTGGACAGCGACTCGACTTACGCGGTCGGGCACCTGGTGTCCGCCCAGCCGAGTAACCACGTAGCCGAGGTCTTTGGTCGTGGTATCCTCGATGAGATTAAGAGCGAGCACAGCACCCACGGCGCCGAGAATCAAATCGTTCTACCGCGGGACGAGGGACTGATGTTTACGGCGACCGAACACCCGAGGCTCTTCGCGCCCCACAACGTACCCGAAAGGGAGAGCCACGAAGAGTCTTACGGTACTTGTCTTCCCATCTTGCGGCCGCTTTCCACGAGCGGGCCGATCCTCCTGGACACCGGTTCGCGCCCTCATTTTCACTTCCCGCGTTAATGGAATGAAGACTGAGGCGGCAATGCAAACATTTGGCACTGCTCCGGGGAGCAGCCGGGTGCTCTATTGCATTTGAACATTCGCCAATCTCGTTGTCATTCTCAGTCGTGATTATTGATGAAAATAACAAATCTTTGTGACAACGCAATCAATCCTGTAATAAGCCTTACGAGCTTAGCGAGCGAGCGAATCTCTCAATTTTATCAGATATCGCGTATTTAATTCTGATTTACGATTTGATAATTTTGTTTCATTTCTTTTTTTTTCTCTTTTTTTTTCATTTCTTGTCGTTGTTTCCTCGTCATTTTATTTTTCTTGTTCCTCCCTCCCCCGTCCCTAAATCTATCCACACCTCTCCTCCCCCCCCCCAATATCCAAACGTATATTAAGATTAAATTTACTTGTAGAAGATTAAGATATCAAAGAAGAGGGACTTTATTATAAAGATATTTTTTCTTTCCTATCGGCACAGAAGTTAATTATCCAATCACTAGATATTCATCGGTCGTAATTTATATTGCAAAACGCACACAACAAAGAAAACAAACAAAATAAATAAAAAAAATAAATAAATAAATGCGATACGATTCGCGCTCGACGTGTGTTGAAGATTCCATGGCCATGGCGACGCTAATGGGCGCGAACGCGACATAAAGCTACGGCTCGTTTTCAGGAAGCGCTCAGTCGGACGACGGCTCGCCAATCTCCTACCCCTGCCTCTGGCTCGACTGCGGTTGCGCCTTCACCGAACAAGTCGCCCTCGTCCAGCATATCGAGAGGCGACACGTCGAGTCGTCCTCATCCTCGAGCCTCCACGGCACCGGTCGCAGACTCCACAGGGACAAGGACAAGGAGAAGGAGGCCAGGCCCAAGGAGTTTGGACCCGCGCAGGACGATTTTCAGTTTGCCTGCTTGTGGCAGGGTTGCTCTCGGGACCGGCCCTTCAACGCCCGCTACAAGCTCCTCATACACATGCGCGTGCACAGCGGCGAGAAACCCAACAAGTGTCCCGTGAGTGGGGTCGCGCAACGGCGGCCACCAAATCACCATCATCTCGGTGCGGACGATGGTCGAGTAATTCATTGTTAACGATTTGCAGTTCGCCGGCTGCAAGAAGGCCTTCTCCAGACTGGAGAACCTCAAGATTCACCAGAGATCGCACACCGGTGAGCGGCCGTACGCCTGCCAGCATCGCGGATGCACCAAGGCCTTCAGCAACAGCAGCGATCGCGCCAAGCACCAAAGAACCCATTACGATACGGTAACTCGCATTAATATGGAGTCGGTATCGCGAGCATCGTCGATCGATATATTACACTACTGCCATTGCTACGTAATCGCCTGGCTGTGGTTTGACGCGGAGGGAATTCGGTCGGTGGGGAGGGCGGGGTGTGGTGGGGTGCGGTAGGCTAGAATCGTTTCAATGTCGATTTAGATAAATATACGATTGCGAGCAATCATGGTGCTCATCCCAGGTAGCGATTGTTCGCGAGAAAGAGAGAGAGAGAGAGAGAGAGAGAGAGAGAGCTGATGAGAGGACGTGTCTTCGGGGGTTGAGAGTGGGGGCTTTGTCGGTGTACGTTAAAGACCTTTGGAGCGTAACCGAATCGAACGATCGTACTTACGAAAAAGCAATGCACGATCGCTTCGAATACCCCGGATCGATCCCCAGGCACGCTGCCGGCCTTTCTCGAGCCATTGCGCGCCCACTATCATCGCAAGCTCGCTCAAGCGATTAAACAATTGCAGAAACCGTACGCGTGCCAAGTGGTTGGCTGCGGGAAGCGCTATACCGATCCCTCATCTCTGAGGAAGCACGCGAAGAATCACACGGAGCCCGCGGCTGGCTTCCACACGGCGGATAATCGGCTCAACGGCGGCCTGCCACCCTTCAGGACGTCGGCCAACCGCAGGAATTCGAGCTCCTCGAGCATCTCCTCGATTGCCAACGGCGGCTATCAGCAACAAACGACGCAGGGTAGTGGGAGGAACCCCTCGATCTCCTCCGACTACGGCTCCCAAAAAGACGCCCACGACATCTACGACGAGATCGACCTCAAGCCCTATCCAGCGACCGTCTCACCTCAGGTCGATCATGTGCCCAACAACATGGACGACGGCCACGAGTACATACCCTACGAGTCCGTAGCGCGATTCCTCATCGACGACAGGAGTCAATTCGGACTCGAGAGTATGGGTAAGTTTCCGTTGCGCCCGATCATCTTATCGCCCATCGCGACCCACCCAACTGCTCGATTAAACGATCGCAGCGATTATTTTACAAGCGCTCGGCGATGATCCACGCTATTATCTCGTCGTTCGTTCGCGCAAGCTTTATCATCGCGCGGTAATGATTTACCGACTGCTGGCGCTCGGCCACCCGAGCCTCAGCCCCAACCTCCCGTTACGTTTACGTCTAATTGCACTCGTGGGAAGCGTATTCGAGTGTGGCCGAACGGGAGGACTTTTGGAACTGTGGTGGTGCGCCCCCGTGGTACGTCACGCGCATCGCACTCAGAGAGACGAGTATAATCGTGGGCGCGTGACCGACCCGGACAAGATGCCGAACCAATAAACTAATCATCGGGAGCGTCCAGCAGTGATCGGGAAGTACTCGTCGAATGCGCGAGCGGACGGTGCCCGGAATCCATTCAACTCGGGCCCACGGCACATGTCCCGCCGCAATATTTCGTCCCGCGAGAATAGTGATTCGCCCGTAAAAAGCAGCCGCAAGCTGAGCGAAATCGCACTTTCTTCCAATGTAAATAGCTGCCACGCAAAAAGTGCATATAAATAACTTGCGCGCAATGTGTATAAAACAGCGGATCTACCCGAGTAAGATTATTTTTACAGGGACAGGCAAAGTGTTTTAATTTCAAACGGTGGGGGCGGCGGCGGCGGCGGCGGCGGCGGCAGCGGCGGCGGCAGCGGCTACGGCTATAGCAGCAGTTACCAGGGTAGCGGTACCAGGCCCAACAAAAGTGACGTTTTTGCCAACGTTAGAGCAAATGGTGGGATGGGGGTGGGAGCGTGGCGCGTATAATTCGCGTTACGATTAGCAAGGCGGCGTCGCCTGGGCTGCTGCCACTAGCTACATCGCGCGACGAGACACCATGTTGAATCTCAGAGGAGGTGAACTTTCGGTGCAGTTTATGCCTCTACCCCACACCGAGTCTTAAAATAATATTCTCGACTTTTTTGGCTTGCGGCTCTCGCGGCGCACGTGCCGCCCATGACACGTGCGACGCACGCGCTTACGATCCATTTTTACAATGCGACACGCTCTTAATAGACTCGCCGGTCCTGCGAGGGCCTTCGGGAAATACGGAGGCTGGCCGAGGCCCGATCGAATAATCTCTCTACTGTCCCTCTACGCCACGCCGTTCGTCACGTCCGATGGTACCTTATTAACAGACTACTTCTATTGGCTTTGGCCGGGAGATCGCCAACAGCTCGTCTAAGGACGACCGTTCTCGTTCCAGGTGCACAATGGCCGCATCTCGACATTTCATTACGGATTTTATCAAAACAATGCATTGACTCTGCTAATAACTCGGGTATTTGCAATAAATAAGTCCACGCTGTTTGGTAACACACCTGTTTCATGATATTTCGTCTATGAGGAATACTGTGCGCTAGCCTCGGCATTATTAACGGCACAATCCTATTGCTTTTACTCGCGATTCTAGTGTTTTTTTGTGGCGTCTTATGAAACAAAGGGCAAAATGAATAGAAGAGCAAAGGGAAACGAAACGAATGGAAAAGAAAGGTTTAAGGGAAAACGCAAAAATCACTTTGAACGTGTATATTTATATATATATATATCTATGATTTTTTTTTTTTTTTTTTTTTTTTTTTTTGTTTTGTTTTTTGTTTAAGGTAACTTTATTAATGTCTGAATCTCTATTTTCTTACATATAATATTAAAGGAGATACAATTTTGCCATTAATCACAATTTAAGGATAAAAAAAGCAGAGTATTAGAATTTTTATCAACTTTTCGTTAATCGTATGGTTATTAATATTAATGATAATACATCGGTTATCTAAGCGCAACGCGACGTTTGTGCAAATAATTAACAATTAATGTTTCACTTAGGCGAAGGATTGACTTAACAAATTTATCAAATTTACCAGAGCACTCGATTCGCTTTGATCGCTACATTTGAGAATTTATTTGAGCTACGCACCGAGATGACAAATAAAGTCACGCTCGACTCGACTCGAATAATCATTTACATTACATAATACCGATAAGAAAAAAAAATTAACGACGCCCTATGCATCGAATGATAATGTTATTTAACACAATTTACCATTATGAATTCGTTCATGTATTAATTATATTAATTATAAGGTTTATTATAGCCTGATCAGTGCTCTTATTCCATTTCAATTGCATTTCGTTGTTTAGGATACGGCGCCGAGGAGGACATTGGCGATCTGCAAGATTTGGGCTCCGACATTGAGCAGCAGTTCTTGGAGCTGAGCAGCCTCGAGGATTCGGTTTTCATGGGGGAATAGTAGCTTCGGTTGCGATCGGCGAGAGCGTGATTATTAAAGTCGAGATATCGAGCCAAGTCGAGCCAAGTCGAGCCAAGTCCGGGGTACGGGAGATTTGAGCAAGAAGGGATCGATCGTTGCAACAAGCACTACGTACGTTGCAATGGATAAAACGAATATCGGACTATTCAAGGCGGATTACCAAGTGACAGAGCGGTTATCCTTGGCTCGGTTAAAACCGGACTTGGAGAGGAAAATAACTACTAAGCCAGTGATTAAGCAAGAATCCGATAACTTTACCGCGCGTTGACGGTATTTTTGTGAAACGGTCTTTTCCCCGTAAAAGAAAAACAAAAGAAATTGTTTGTCCCCGACAGGGTGGAGCTGGGCTCACGGGCGCCTTCAATTTTCATGTACATTTGTAAATATGGGGTGGCGAGTCAAGAGCGATTATCGATAAGCGGCTAAATTAGAGTTTCCCTGGGGCCTCATCGGCTGTCGGCGTTCACATCTTCTTTATTCAATCCCTCGCTTCGTCTTCTTGGGCTTATCTGGCCCGTGGGACTGGAGCCTCGAGGCGCCTTAGCTACTCGGCCCGCAAGCAGCCGGCTTCTCACTAACTGCAATCAACCGGCAAACGATGCTTCTGAAGTTCTTGAATGCGGCCGCGCTCTTTTCCTAAAAACGAGAACGAGGTCATCAAGATAGGCGCAATCAAGACTCATCGATGGGATCTTATGCCCCGTAGTCCCGGCGATCCACGGCAACGGCTCGAAGCAAGCGAGAGTCACTGAGAACTGTTTCTACACCCCTCCCCCCCCCCAACCAACCAACCCAAAGTCTCGTGTAAAATTGTAAATAAATCATGTACATTGTAGTCTCTTATTCTCCGGGTTCAAAAAAAAAAATATATGCATATATATATATATATATATATATATATATAAATAAAAGAAAAAGAATGAAAGAAAGAATAAAATTTAAAAAAGTGTAAGTTTCGAACATTTGAAAGCAAAGCTATACACACGGCCCTGGGGGTTTTAAAGTAAAAAAAAAAAAAAAAAAAAAAAAAAAAACTAACGACCAAAGAAACGAAGGAATGACGAAGGATGAGCGAGCGATGAATGGTAGCGAAGAACGATGTACGAAGGAATAAAATAGAATCGTAGGAGCGAGATACGATGAGTATACGAGGGGTATAGGAGGGGTATACGAGGAACGAATGAATGAGCGAGAATGAGCCGAATAAATAATTAAATAATTAAATAAGCGGACTGAAACGGGCAGGGCGACTCACTCCGTTGATGACGATCGATGGCACAAACTTGAGCGGTGTCTCGAAAGCCTTGGTTTTCTTGCCGTTGGCGATGAGTAGCTCGTCCCCGTAGGTAGAGCCGCTGCACTTACCGATGCGCTCGATCGCCTCGGCCGGCAAGCCCTGCTTCTCCGCGCACTGGAAGAGATAAGGTGCCCGATGAGCTTAGTCGTTGATTCGGGATTGGGGAGCCCCGGGGCCGGTGCGCACGGAGCATGCGAGCCCAGCGGGGAAGAGACGGAACGAGTGTCCGATCGCCGATAACGAAAGACGTACCTGAGGCACCGCTAAGGCAGGATCGCCGCTCGACATGACACAATTGACGACGTCGAGGGCCTTGTGCTGGCGCAGCTGCGGATCCGCGACCGACAAGTGCTCGATCTCCATGAGAGCACAGGCCTGGGCCCGATTGCCCCAGCACTCGTTCGGCCCATGCTGGCACGTGAACTTGGTCCTGTTGTTCTCATCGATGATCCACTGCCGGCGTCAACGCGTCATTAGACCAAAAAGGCGAATTTTACCTCGCGATGGGTAGGGTACGGAATGGAAAAAGTGGTAGTGAGAGTGGGAGTGGCATGCTTACCGATGCTTTGCCGAAGGGCACGAGCTTCAGATGTAGGAAATCCTTGAGGTGCGGGTAAGCGGGCGCGAGTTCCCGCGTGATGAAGTAAATGCTGTCCGGGCAAAGTGACTCGTAGTAAACCTCGACGTTTATGAGAGTTTTGTTGGGCTTCACAGCGCCGATCTAGCAAACAAATTCTATTACGAAACGGCTCGACAATTTTGGACGAGCGCCGGCGTCGACCGCTACGGGCGTTTGGAAATATGGGCAACTTGAATTTGAAAGTCCGTGGAAAGTCGTATTTGTTGCCTCTTTAGCCGATAAGCTTAACCTTCACCGACGTCCCATATTTCTTAATGCCCGAGTTCGTCGATGACGATGATATTAATAATAAATGATAGATAATAAATAATAAACAATAAACGATTAACGATAAATGATTATTATGAAAATAAATATTAATATCAATAAGAAAGAAAGAAAGAAAGAAATAGTAGTAGTAGTAGTAGTGATAGTGATAGTGATAGGAATAATAATAGGTATAATAACAGTAATGGTAATAATAATAGTAATAGTAATAACAACGACGACGACGATGACGATGATGATGACGACGACGACGACGACGACGGCGACAAGTATAATAACAACAGCGATAGAACAATTAAAAAATGTAAATGATGGAGAGAACCATCGCATTTTAATATCCGTGAAATTTCGAGAGCCAATCTTCTGGGTCAAACATATAATATCTTATTTGTTAAAAAAAAAAAAAATACCAGCAGTTACGATATTACTAATCCTCGTAAAAAAGCGATAAGAATAATTTCAAGCGCGTCAAGAAAAGTGTTTATTATCTTTCAATAAGTAGATTTACCGTCGAGTCAGCCGCGCGTCAAAGCGAGCCAGTGCTTTTACTTTTGGCAAAATTGACAACAATGCTGCGCTCCTTTATTACACGACTCGGCTTTCTCAAAACAATAACCGAGAGCTACACATTCGCGCGTGTTTTTCGTACGCGTATTGTGCGCGTACGACGTCTAGTGAGGCAGAGCGAGGAGGCAGGGGTCTAGGGCCGATATGTGGAAAAACGCGGAGCAACGATAAAAGAGTGAGAGAGTGAGAGAGAGAGAGAGAGAGAGAGAGAGAGAGACAGAAAGAGATATGAGAGACAGATGAGAGAAAAATTTACGGTTAGATATTTACGCTGCCGGCGACGAGGAGGGCCACGAAGGCGATCGTCGGGTGGCTCATGGTGGATGGATGATTCGGCAATGCGTCTTGTGCGGCTCGTCTACTGGGATTGAAGCGATCGTCGATCGGACGACGCGTTTTCAGCCGATCGACTATCTTCAGCTTCCGTACCGCTCGGCTGCTGGCTTAGCTCGGTGTAGAGGGGGAGGGGGCGGGGTGGTGGAGGGTAGGATGGGAGAGAGAGAGAGAGACGCGGGAGTGGGGCCGTGGTGAAATAAAGTCGTCGCTGCTCGAGTCAAAATAACGAGGCGGCGCTGCGGCTCCGCATCGCCACTCACTCACTCACCCCCTCCTCTACGACCATGACGTCGACGGCATTTCTCGACCGTCGGGATGTGCGCTTCACTCACTGGCCTGACACGAGATACATAATCGTTGCCCACCCGATATGAACGATATTGGCCTCTTTGCACCGATAATTTTCGATCGAACGTTATTTGATTTGCGTTTGGTTGAGCAGCCTCGGTCTTTTCGCGCCAGCGGTCGAAATTCAAGTTGAAAGACGATACGCGCGTCCGATAACGTTATCAGCACTTTCGGCACTTTATCCATTCTACGTGCCGCACACATTTTGATCTGGCCAATATTGTTCAACATTCTACCGGGGAATGGAATTTTACGAAAGTCTTAGATTATTATCGATTATTGCTTTACAACGCGGCGCTACGGCCAAGACTAAATGTTAATGCCGTTTACGACGAATATCACCGGGGACTCTTATTTATTCGATTATTTATTCATTATCTTGAACTTTATAATAAGCATTGTGCACTTAGTGTAATTAATTAATGTTTCGAACAATAGACTTTAAGAGCCTTCTTCAATATTATCGGGCATTCTAGTACGGACAATGTGTAATTAGAAAAGATATTTTTATATATATTACAATTTAAGCCAGGCTTTACTCATAATTTAACTAGTATTACCGATACGTCTATGTTTTAAAGCATAAATAATAAATAATGTCTTTGCTTAGCTGTTGCAAACGAGAACAAATTTGATCGTTCGAAATGAAAAGTCCACAAAAAAAAAAAACAAAACAAAAAAAAAATTGAATACTTGTATGTTTTGACAAGGCTTGTTTAATGAAATGTTACGTGCGAAAAGTACAACATCAGTGTATGCACATGATAACGTGAAAATATTTGTAAATCATAATAAGATCATTCGAATAAATTTAACGTTTTAAACAATGAAAAATTTCTTTTACAAAGTATAAAGAAAATTTTACGTTAATACGCAGTTGCTGAGATAGCGATGGGAGACATGAAATTAGGCAATTTCGTAGATCCCATTGTGGTAAACAGAGATGATTTTTTATACAAGTTCGATTTATATTAAATGAAAGATTTTGTAATAAAGCAAACTAAATTCTATAGTATTTATATTTTTATTCAAAAATTCAACGTGGTAAGCTATTTATTTGCCACTTGTTGATAAATTACACTATTGTACGAAGATAAAAAAACTCAAATGTAACAAGAAATAATAATTACATTGGTTAAAGCTTATAATATTAGTATTCTAGTAGATAATAGATCCTTTGACGATACATTACTATGTGAAACACTAGTTAAGTCTATACTTTTATACCATGGCCAAACTCCATCGAACGAACTTCTTTAATTTCTTTTTCTATATCCGCAGCTTTTTTTCTGAATGTTTCTGCTAATGTCGGGCTCTTCTCCACACCTTCGCCCTTCTCATGCATTTGTGAAATATTTCCACAAGCGTAATAATTTCCCAGCTCGCATGCCTTCAACGAGTATTTGTAAGCTTTTTGCATATTTCTTTCTAAAATATCTTCGATACCACTTATATAAGTACTGGAAAGCTGGAAACACGCCTTTTCAGAATTATGCTCCTGGCAACACTTTTCCAACACTTTTATACCATCTTCTATAACAATGTCCTTATTATTATTATGAATTTGCGGAAATGAGACTGTTAATATTCCTAATGCTACGCAGCCTTGAATCTCATTTAACGTACAAGATTTTTTCAGGTATTTCATAGCTTGTTGCAAGTTTTTCTCACAGCCTTTACCTTTTAAACAATTTTAGAATATATTTTCAGTTAAAAAATATACTCGAATATTAATTATTATTTGCAACTAAAAAACATCAACTATACAAACAGTCAATTTAGCTGTTAAATAAATGTATTGTAGTTGGCATTTAAAGATACCTTGCTACGCAATTCTATAATGTTACATATTGATTATCAATATTTTGATTCTTACATTAAAATTTCATACAATAAATACATTAAAATAGTGCAAAAAAATATGCTTACATCGTAATTTGCAAAGCTCATCTAAAAACGATAAGCGCTTAAATTTTAGCTTAGCTTTTCAATTGTAAATGTTAATTACTTTGTCTATTGATTGAAAATAAATGATACGAGCTACTATTTCCCCCCAAAATATTTCAATAAAATATAACAAAAAATCATTAATTATGAAACATATATTTATAAAATCTAAAGTTAATTTTTTACAACGTTATTACTATTACCTACAATACTCCATAATCCAAATTTATTACAACTTTTTGGAAAATCAAGATTGTCACAATTATTTTGATAAATACTGGCCGCTTTTTTAAAGTCCCTCTTTACACTCTCAAAATAATCTCCAAGCAAGTGACAACCTGCAATAAGTAATAATAATTATTATATTAACGTGCATATACGATAGACTAAAATAGGTTATATAAAGTTATTAAACCGTCGGGTTTATGTTCACTATAACAGGAATACGAATACTCAATATGAATATTGTTCAAAAACTCTTTAATTTCATCGGCATTTTTAAAATTATAATTGTTCATAATGAGCGGCAGAAACAAATTTATAAAATAAATCAAGCAATCTTGATAGTTTTAGAGATTAAAAATTACATATTATTCGTGTAGTTGGTAGTGCCGATACGTGGTGGCGCTACTCGTCGCATTCGTGGAAAATTCGAATCGAAGCTGAGATCCGACTTGCGCGCGCTTTTACGAACTCTCAACTCCTATTATTCAGGGATAGGAAAATCGCAAGGGCGCAGGTCACGAAAGTCGTGGGGATTTGCCTTCGCTCGTGTACTGGGAGGAAAACTTGCTGGACGTCCCGGTAAACCATCAGTGCAAAGACATCGTCAGCCGGTGAAGTGTTGCGACTCGTTGTCAGCCGGGGGAGTTAATTATTTTCAATGCCGAACATCACTCGGCACTTCCCCTCGAGGTAGGTTTCCTTTCTATTTTCGCCATTCATCCCTTACTCTCTCTCTCTCTCTCTCTCTCTCTCTCTCTATCTTAAGGCTTTCACCGATAACGGGAATTTTCATTATGCTAAGCCCACTGAGATAATGCCTTGCAACTTAAAAAAAATCGCCTACTGCGTTTTATCGGGAAATTGCTGGTAAAACGATGATTACTCCCTTGCCCCTTTGATTACTAATCGGCACGTTAAATGTTCGCGGAAGCTTGAATCGCGCACTAAATATATATAAATACATATAAAGTTGCTGTCATAATCGTAAACGATGACGCAGGAAAAAGCTCCTTTCATGTGACTAGCCGATCGGCGAGAAAGAGACAAGTGGAACACCGTGCCCTAATTAACGGCAGCTCGGATTTCGGCTACAAACGATTGCGTGCGCCCTTGCCGACGCGCTCGAACAATATTCGGAAAACTTACTAAACTAGTAGGTCAAATTCGAAGGGACCCTCGTCTGCACTCGCTCGACTTCCTTATCACGACACCTACGTGTTACAATCTGCATGTAGTAAGTTCAAGCCGTTCGTACGCTCTGCTAGATTTTTGCCGTCAAACAATGTATATTTCCGAGGAACTCGACGAGCTCGTGGCTTGACATATTTCAGTCTTTTCATGAATCGGCCATTGAATAATTCATGTTGAAACCACGTTATACCACGCAATCATTAAAAATTCATTATTTGCATCAATAAATCGGTGCTTACGAATATAAGTGTAACGAAGATCGGGGCCAAACATTGTGCGTTATGTTTGAATTACGTGCCTGTTGGAAATTTCGTAAAGAAAGAAACAACGTATCAGCTGAGGTTGCATGATATAAATGGCAGACCCAACTCGACTACTTACCGATTGCCTATTAACATACAATAGGACAGGACTCGTCCTTTATATCCGGCCAATTATCTCTACAGCTAAATAGATAAAATGAAAAAGAAAGTGCTCTTGTAATATATCTTATGTAAACAGCATGATCTTAATATACAATATGATTAATAATAATAATAATAATAGTAATAATAAATTGTATTTGTAGGCACTTTTTGCCTTATCATCGTTTAACGAACGAAACTTTATTTATCGTTATCAATTGACATATGATAAGTGTTATTGCAGTTCAACTCCAAGAACTAAATAAAATGTACCTCTTTCTCGAATATTTTCTCACTAAAATTTAGCGATAATGATCGAACAAACAACTTTATTGAATTTGTATAATAAATTGCTTAAATAAATAAAGTACAGCCTTGATAATATACAAACGTCAATGCATTAATATTTATAATGTTTGCGAATATTATATATATTGTATATTCTGAAATTATTTTTAAAATTCAAATCGCCAATAATGCATAAATAAACAACAAACACGAATGTTTGAACATAGCTCGACCCTTATAAGTATATAGAAGTGACGCGTTTAATATACTCTGAAGAAACTTTGATTTTATATTTTATTAAATTTTTATTTATAATATGTAACAATTAAGATACTGTTTTGGCTATTTAAACATGTAGACAAAAACATATAAAGAGGCGTTTAGAAGTCTAGTAAGCTAAGATAAGCTGCTTTTGTTCATTTTGAGGTAGCACTTTTTTTTTTAATCGATCGTATTCATATTATAAAAGTCGATGTTATTCATAAAATAATATAAAAAGATTCGATTTTTTTCTATTGCACGTAAATCTTTGAAATTGAAAATAAATGTCTTTTATTTTGAGAATAAATAGGCTGCGAATGTCGATATTTAGTCTATATTTTTGATGATGATGATGATGATGATGATGAGGCGAATCTAACGCTAAGTCATAATTAAACTCCATGACGACATTTATTATTGATTTTTGTTATTTGTATGATCGAGCGTGTTCGTAAAAATAATAGTTTAATGACTGGTTGATTCAAAGACTAGATTTGAGCAAGGACCGGGTTATTAAACTTGGGAAAGTTGGCAAAGTGCGTGTAATTAACAGGACCATGTGTTAATCTTGATTTTTATACACACGCGTGAGCGTGTCGAGTGAACGAGGAGACTTAAAAAAAATTTATAAAGAAAATTTCAGAGATTCATGCGTAAAATAATCTCTTCGTGAATGTTAACGTTTCCGTTCGTATCGCGAAGCAGTTAAATCAATAGAAAATGACTAATTAGCATATCCGAGCCAGAAAATAAACCATGAATGACTTTGTAAAAATGTCTAAACACAACTGAAGAAAGTTATAAAAAATTCAAAAGATTACGGTTATATTGTTTTAAGAATTCAAAAATTCAAGATCTCCAACGCACTTGTCACCTTATATTTACCAACATTATAAATATTGAGAAAAATTATTGCAAATAATGACTGATAGTAACCAAAGCCCAAACAGCAAAATGAGCACAACAATTTCTACACATTGTCATTGAAAATTATACTTGTCCAATTAACAGAATGATCTGATTTAATTATTTTATGTATTTTCACAGATGAGTGAGTCCGTGAAAGTGGCAGTTAGATGCCGTCCCATATCTCAAAAAGAATTGCAGAATAAATGTCGGGTACGTTATAATAAGCATTATTTTTGATTTTCCGTTGTTAATTCGCTCTTACTAGCAAAGTATGTTATTTATTAATTTTTTTATTTATTTTTTATTTTTTTTCTTTTTTATCGCACGTCAATTTAAGCCATGTAATCTATTTTTACATTGTAAATGACATATAATTTGACGTATCGAAAGTTTCATTATAATTATTTAAGTACATAATTAAAGAAGTATTTTTTATTATTGAGTGAGCATGTTTCTGTCAACACTATAACGAATAAGAATTCGTTTGAAATTAATAGCTAAAATAATTTTTTACAAATCATTAGTTTCGTAAATCGATTCATTTTCTTTTTGACAATGCGCTTAAATATGAGCGCATTATTATTTCAGTTACGATACAGTTTAAGTTTAGTCCTTGATGCGATATAAAAATTAAGTAGCTTCATAAAAAAAAAAGATGCATACCAAATATTGTATTGTCTAAGATAAAATATAATGAACCGTTTAACTAATATTAAAAATAATGAACTTCTGGAAATAGACAAATTTTACAAGCACAAGAGTAAATATCTATTAAAAAAAAAAATGCAAATATCCTTTACGTACAATCACATGTGTAAATATTTTTGGAATAGCAGATAATTATTGAAAATGATATATTTTATGACATTTGTTATTATTTATGAGAGCTTTTCTTTAATATTAAAGAACTATATAGAGGCAAATAACATAATTGAGTATGTCTAGAAAAATTATCTTCTAAAGAATAAGATTTATTTATTTTGTTTTTTTATTTCGATACTCGGTTATAAAAATCCGTTGCCCAATTTCCGGACTATTAACCAAAGAAATTTATAAATATTAATAAACAAGGAATTCTAACTGCAAAATCTATTTCCTTACATTGGGATAATAACGTTGTAACGTTCCAAGAGCATACATAATGATTAAGTGTTTCAGCAATGAAAGTATTTTAGAAAGTAAGAAATGGAATATAAAGGTAAAAGAGAGGAATATGGATTAATTAGGTTTGAAAATATACTTGGAATCATTTCATAAGCTACGGTGTTGATCCGACAAAAGAGTTACACATAGGCGTGCACGCGCGCACACATGTACAGAAGAGACACAAAAACAAACAAGCGCACACCCACACACACACACGCATACACAAATGAAAACACAAACTGGAACTTGAATTAAAACGATTGAAGAGACACAAAAACAAACAAGCGCACACCCACACACACACACACGCATACACAAATGAAAACACAAACTGGAAAGACTTGAATTAAAACGATAAAAGTAAAAATGCTTGAAAGTAATGACTTGAAATGCGTATCTCGAAAATGTAACATTTTTAGGCTATCGCTTGTAAATATTATAATTCATAAAGATAATTTTCCATAACTTTTCCTTTGGCAACCTTTTATGAAGCAACAGCTATTATGATGTCTTGCTGGTGAATTATCAGTTGCTTCAAACGTATAATAATAATAATAATAATAATAATAATAATAATAATAATAATAATAATAATAATCATAATAATAAAAATTGCAAACTACTGACTCATGAGATTAATAAACAATTTATGTATTTATTTTTTTTTTCTTCTAAACGTAAAGAAGAACTGGTACAGCAAAATATTTTAAATAGTTTTAAAATTGCCATTTTTTGCTGGTCATGTTAATATTCTATTTAACACTACAATTTTGTATGAACATGCAATGTATTAACGAATATTACTTTATTATATCATTATTATCGACATTTATTATTTTGCTAAAATGTATTAAAGCCAAATTTAGAAGCTGTTTCTGCAATTTGCATTATTCAAAAGCAATATGCAAATGTATTTTCAATCGTATTGGAAAAAAGTTTAAAATAATCAGCGTTTATGTAATTTGGTCGATGAAATCAATACTTAAATATTAAATAATTAAAGATAATAATACATTGCTAGATATAGAATGCAAATAGCTTGTATACTATCGCATTTAAAAATCTTTTATTTTAATAATTTACGCTTCACGTAACATAAAATTGGGCAGCATCGATAAAAAACGCATTTATAACGTAATCACTAGTCATTTATTTATAAAATAATTTTGCGGGAGATTTCACGTTGTTTATCAATGCATCGAAGAGTCTTAACGTAAATTCTAAATATCAGAACATCAAAGTTAATTAAGCCTCAAAATTTTCTAGTTTCTATTTATCTATGTCACAAGATATTATCAAATGAATGTATAACGTTTATAATATGAAATTTAATCTCTCTAAAGCCTTGTAATAACGAGATAGTTTTATGTTTTATAGAAAATTATAATTTTACTAAATTCATTACTAACTAAACTCGTTCAATGATATCTTTACAACAACCGTTACATCGCATTGTTACACGACTTTTCATCTATCGCTTGCAAACAATTCTAGATCTAAGAATAATGGAAAGCAAAAAATATTGTGTATGTATAAAAAAAAAAAAAAAAAAACTCATCAAATTTCTGTTATATTCATTTACAATCTCGTGTCATTTGGGGAAATATTCGTTAATTACCACAGCTTAGTCATTACGTCGAAAATCTTGATCGTTTCGTATCATCCCAGCCGCCTCCGGCCGATTCAACAAAACTACTCGCTTCCTACACAATTTACTCGCTCCACGTCGTACTCAATGCATTCTCAGTCGTTTCTTCAAGGTCAAAGCCATTACAGCCAGAATATAAATATTATAGTGGCGTGTGCTGGATTCGAGCGATATGTAACACGCTATCTGGCCAAAGCAACCCCATTCAACGGGGGCTGATTTACAGAAATTCGTCGATCCTAAACGTTAGGCCGTGCGCTTACATACGCGGGCACAAATGCCTGCAAAGTTCATAATGAAATGCGCGTATGGGCTCACACGGGCGACCAAAGACCTGTCTGTCACTGTCATATCGAACGAATGTAGCCTAGCGACCGATACAAAACACAGGACTTTGTCGTTAAATCAAGTCCATGTGTAAATGGAAATGTACAGGTGTCCTGGACTCTTGACTGCCAAGGCGACTTGTAACTGCAAACGCTCCGTATAACATAATACCCATTGCTCTCTCTCTCTCTCTCTCTCTCTCTCTCTTTCTCTCTTTCTCTCTTTCTCTCTTTCTCTCTTTCTGCTGTAGATTCATCAGGGAACCAATGATGCGAATAGGCTGACGTCGTGCGAGCTTGTCGACAAACCGCCAATACCCGATAGCCAATATTTATGGCTTAAAGGGGATGATATCTCTTAAGCTGAAAAATATAATTAAATTTTTTTCCGAGCTTTTCAGCGAGTTCCCATGCTTCATGTATCTCCATCATTTGATGAAAGGAAGGTTGGAGAAAAGCAAGGTGCTCCAATATGTGACCGATATAGATAATCGTCTCACAACTGCTCTAGCAGCAATATTCTGCAATGTTTTTTTTTTTTTTTTTTTTTTTTTTTTTTTTTTTTTTTTTTTTTTTTTTTTTTTTATTATTATTTTGTTTTTTGGCCTCAAAGCCTGTCTAAGCAAGCCAAATGAGACTTTTTGTTACCATTTGTTCTGTAATAATTCGAAAGATTTGTTCGGCATAATGGCTCGCTTATTTGTTTATTAAGCGATGTACGAAGCATATTAACGTTGACAATGCTCTTAGCTACTGATGACGCTTCGCCTTTAGATTGTGCGCATTAAAATATTTCGCGCCAAGCTATAAAAATAATCGATTTTGGCTTAAAGCGCGATACAATTGAAGATAAATGAGGATACGTGTGGGGGCATTACGAGCGTTTATGAATTACGATTATTAAAATGACTTGGGTAGCATCGATCGGTAACGTTGAATGTCGTAAGATGTGGCTAATAAGCCTTGGAATGCTCGGCCCGATGTCATTTTCCAAAAATGAGTACGTAAGGAGGAGCTATTCGTAATCCTCGCGCTGCTTCAAACTTAAGTGGACTTTGGCTTAAGGGCTGAGAACGACGAGAAAGGCTCGAGATGCACCCGGTCACGTGGGTCCGTCGACTACACGTGTATTATCCGACGGTATCGATTCGACACATATTCCGCTTGGCATCGATAATCCCAGCAAATTTACATGCGCGCCGATAAATGCAGGCGCGGCTCATCGATCCGCGCGCCCTACGACGCATCACTTTTCTCATCGGCAATTAAATAGGCGATGCACGCCTTGGCGCCGAGGCGACTGCTACTTTTTACGAGGAGGGGTAGATGGAAGGGGAGAGGGTGTCACGCTAATTATCAGAGCTGCGCGCTTTATCGCCGTTACTTGGCTATAAGGCAACTCGACAAAATTTACCGGCCCCAATTCCTTTTTACACTCGCGCTACAAATACGAGATACGACTCGCCATCGTGAACACGTGCGAGTGGTTTGACAGCAAGTGATCCATCACCTTCTAGCCAATGTTTTCGCTACTGTTCGATGGTCACGGTTTTTCATAATCCATTTGCCCATGTATATTGACAATCCCGCATGTATGATGAACGTCTGTAGCCTTACCTGTCTAAAATCTATCGATAATAGGTCTTTATACTGCCGGCTTTATGTTCATATTTTCCGTCTTCTGCCATTTACATTACTGGCATTCATCGTTTAAATGCAGTATGTTTACGAAAATTTTGTTGACATTTCAGAAGAGCGCTGTAAGTGGAACAAAAAAAAAAAAAAAAATTATAAAATAAATTTACATAAATATTATATCATCGGTAATGTAAAAGTTCGCGCGAAGATAAATTGTAAAAATTTTACTTGAATTATAATTGGGAGTTGAAAAATTCTATTATACGTATATTCCTAACCGATTATATGATCATTAATAATAGATTTAATCAACAATCTTCACTGCTTTTATATCAATGTTTGTTAATTATATGCATATTATTATTTATAATTATCATATATAACGTATTTTTCTCGTCTTCTCACTACTTCAAATTTCAATGGAAATCCCAATCTTCTCGTTTCCTCTATTATATGTAGATAAAAAATATAAAAATAATGCGAAAAAATTTAATGTTTTCCGCCGATTCTATATAATTTTTAATAATTACAAGTTTTATATACATATGTATGACGTAATAATCTATAGTCTATAAGGTAATTGAAATAAACGTTAAAAGCTTCATTATAGATTTTCCTCTTTTTCATCACAACCTTGAACGGCTTTTATACTAACTGTTTGATTTACATTAATTATTTTTAAAAAACTTATATTTAAGGATCATTGCCGGTTAATAAATGCCATTGTATAACTTGCATGATAAACTTTATTTAAAATTATTAAAATTTAAACTTTTACATACTATATGTTTAGGTTTAATTATGGAAGGTGAAAGTAAATAATTTAAACTATTGTAAAATGGACACCCGGGTGATAATAAATTATCCTATAAATTCTTATAAATGAAATATATATATATATATATATTATTAGCTATGTATTATTTTTTGATCTGCAATAAGTTTCTAATTTCAAATTGCTTTATTCACCAGATGTAAAATTAATATTTTCAAAAATCAAAAGAAGAAAAAAACAAAAAGAAAATACATTTATAAACATTGCACGTAACTATATTGAACATATAAACAAATATAACTAACAATATATTGGAATGCCTATAAATATTATTTGTATAACAATGTAATTTTAATACTTATACCTTTTCGACAATAAAATAGAAAAAAGTTTTTATTTTTCAATGTTAAAAAATAGCTCAATTCCTAGCATTTAATTCCCAAGTATTTTCACAAAATAAAACAAACGTTTAAAAAAGAAAAATTTCTTATTAAAAGTATTGGACCTTGTAGAGTTTATAAATCGTAAAAGCCTCTTTAATATTTCAAATATAAAAAATGTTATGTCGATTAAGTGCTATGAGAGAATAAAATTAAAGTAAATACTTTTATTTGAAATTCATGACGATTAACGATAATAATTAACTTTCACAAGCTAAAGTCATTTCAATGAAGCATAAAATTTTAAAAACCCTAGTCGATAAATGACTCTTTCACCACTTCCCGTGAAGGTGTATAAAGTAAGCTTGCTTTATCGATTGCATACCTATTGCGTTTTATAAGGAAATAATAAATTAAATTTTGGATTATGCCGGTCATTCATGCTGCACACCCGGATAATAATTAAAATAAACATAAACTTCACACGTGACACTTGTAGAGCGTGGTGACGGTGGACAGCAGTACACGAAGTTGCAGCCTCGCCGAAGCCACGGGCCAGGGCAAGGTGTACCAGTTCGACGCAACCTTCGGGCCCGGCGCCTCGACGGAGGTCGTTTACGAGGAGGTCGGTTCTTACGTCGTGGAGGCCGTCCTCGATGGCTACAATGGAACGGTGTTCGCCTACGGTCAAACGGGCTGCGGCAAGTCCTACACGATGCGCGGCTTCGTCGAGCGTGCACTCGAGCACCTCTTCGAGGCGACCTCCACCTCGAGCTCGGACATGCGCTATCTCGCCCTCCTCACCTACCTCGAGATCTACAACGAGAAGCTGCGGGACTTGCTCCAAGCCACCGACCCCACAAACGAGAATCAACTTCAGCTGAAGGTACGAGGCTATCGTTGTCCCTGCTGATTCAGCCTCGCATTTATTTTTATTATATCTTTGTTTACTTTTTTTTTTTATATTCATACATCACCTCGATCTGAAATGCGTAATGTAAGATCATTCTCCGGTCACTTTTAGTTTGCCAAGTTTGGGTCAGGGTTTCATTGATCATCGGCTGCAAAGATGATTAAGTGAAGCAATCAATTATGTTTAATGCCATTGTATTTAAAAACAAATTATTCAAATTACGTTTATAAATCAGAGAGAGAGAGAGAGAGAGAGAGAGAGAGAGAGAGCTTTGTGAATTGTAATGAGGTAACTACCATGATAGACAAATCTCCGGCCAAATTTACTCATCTACTATTTTAATGGATTACTCATATATTAAGCGTAAACTGTTTCATTACTGATAATTAAATAACTATGTCTCCTGGTAATAGACTGATAAATCTACGATAAGCGATACATTGATAATCAAAAATAAATCCAATACTAATTGTACAATAATGATACAAATGATTCTGAATATTTTTTAAAAATCATGATCATCGTACAGTATTTACAATATTACAGATGCATTCCTTCGTAGCTTCTGACATATCCGAAGTACAAAACCGATTTATGCAAATCGGGCGATCGTTGTATTTTGTAACTTTTATAATGTAAAAAAAAAGAGAGAGACTGCAATGCATGAATTTCAAAATTTCAAAATAACATTTTGAAAACGAAAATAGAATTAAAGGAAAAATGTTATAATAATATAAACGGTATTTAATTTACATAAAAATACCTTTCCCACAATTTCAGTAGCATTTCAACACATTTCATTTATTAGACATTTAATATTTCTCAGAATTTATTACTTGGAATTTTATTCGGTTATCTGCACTTATTTGTTGATTGTAGAAACAAAATAATAGTAAATTTAGTTATCACCAGATATTTCTAAACACATCATGACATACTTGTAAAGGCAACGTTCAAAGTACCGTAGCCATTGCTATTATTCTGACAAACACACGAATGCACGCGTATATATATATATATATATATATATATGTGTGTGTGTGTGTTTGTGCTCAGTGTCTCAGCCGAGTCACTTACTTTTTCTTTAAAGAGTCATAAAATTTATCCAATGTAAAAAACAGAAATCTTGTCTGTATGACCTGTAAAATTCAACTCAAGCACAAATGTATGCTTGACACAAGTAATTACAGATATCTCTCTCTCTCTCTCTCTCCCTATCATCCCATCTCCATTACTCGCTAATATTTGGTTATTATTTACAAATATTTTTAATATAAAACATTCTTAAATGAAGATTGGAATTTTTAAATTTACTAAGTTTAGATCGTATTTGGTTAATTATAATGAAGTATCGATACTTTCATCATAATTCAAAAGCTAAAAGCACTTATCGAGTTTTATAGATATTTATAAGTTAAAGATACGATATTTTCTTTAATGGTATTTGCTAAAATTAAGTAAATCGTTATTCAAGGATATCGAGTAATATAATTTAATGCATCAATTATGCTTTTAAGAAAATTGAAATCCGCATTTCACACATAAAACAACTTTTAATCACATTAAACAACATTTGCACTTGCAATTATAATACATACAATAATTCTAAGCAGTTTAAAATTATAAATATAGAACTATCGAGAATTTATGAAAATAGAGAAGAGTATTTTTATTAAAATCGGGAACATTATAAAGAAAAAAAAAAATATATATATATATATAGACATTTATGTTGATAATCACATGACATCGTAATTTGAATAAAATAACATTATGCATGAGTTTTCACAAATGTTAATTTAATATTAAATAATGGTAAATATAAAATTCCTCGTTCAAATATGTGAGTACATTCAAAGGCAAAAAATATGCATCGATCGGACATTATCATTTCATCGCAATTGGGAAATTCTTGTCTCCAAATAGAATAAATAAATTATTATACGCCAGCAGGCGTTGATTAACAAATCTCTTTAATTCGAATACGCAAATTACCGGTAATTTGAATACAATTCTATGAGCTTTTATTAGCACAACATAATGTTTATTTATCTAAAGAGAGAAATAATCATCCTCATAATGCGAAATGATTTTAAATTGACCAAATGTAGGATGAAAAATTTCCATAAGATTATGCTTATAAATCGTTTATAAAACAGTAATGCCTCGACATTGTCTTATGCTTACGAGGATTACGAGAAAAAGAAAGGATTGTTCGCGTATCGTAAAAAATAACCAGGCTAATGGAGCCAGAATCCCAGCTCCAGCCCCCGGCAAAATTAATATCATAACTGGCATGCTCCGGTAGGAAGACCCAGTGCGCGGCACCTACGTCGCTGGTGGCCTGCGCGAGGTCACCGTCAAGAATGCGCGTGACTGCACGCGTCTGGTGGACCAAGGCGATCGGCGCAGGGCAGCCGCAGCCACGAGGATGAACGCCGCGAGCTCCCGGAGCCACGCGGTTCTAACGATATCCCTGGAGGCGATAGCGATAGGGGGACCCGGACAGGCGGGTACCGGGGCCGTGCGTCGTGGACGTCTCCACCTCGTCGACCTCGCGGGCTCGGAACGTCAGGGCCGCACCGGGGCAACCGGCGACCGGCTGAAGGAAGCTGCGAGCATTAATCTCAGCCTCTCGGCCCTGGGCAACGTCATCAGCGCACTAGCCGCCGGCAACGGAAGACACGTACCCTACAGGTTGGTCAAATTATCCTTTAAACATTGTGCTCCCTATCCAATAAACAATTCGCGAGGCTCTTCAAATAATCTTAATAAGCTCGGCTTTTGTATTATAATATATTGTATTATAGTTCACGCTTGTTGGCGGCGCAATTTTCAAATTTTCGTCATTTATTTTTTATATCGTGGCCCAGATGATAAATGTCGATCGTTACGATGCGGCCAAACGTTTTTTATGCAAAATTCACCTAAGCGAAAAAATTATCTTCAATATATATTTGTACATTATTATTATCTACCTCGATAAAGGCATCGATTATTATCATCGAGCATTATACTCCAAATTTTCCGAACGTTCGTACGAATAACTGACGATCGATTGATTATACGGATACTCTGGGACGATTCTTATTATTGCATCGATGACCTTGACGCCAACTATTATTGTTGTTAAAAGACAAAGCAATGAGCGAGAATGTCTGATGTTGAAAGGGGAGTTTAAAATTAAAGTTTCTTACAAACGGGAGTTTAAAATTCAATTTCACAACTGTTCCATCGCATGACCGGCATAATACTTTATTCGTAATAATGCTTTATTGCACCGAGGACATGAGACCGACTCCCGTGTAATGATCTTACCCTCAGCCTGACAAGTCCAGTTCCACGTGCCGACTTTCTCGCTCTAGGGACAGCAAGTTGACGCGACTGCTACGGGACAGCCTCGGGGGTAACGCGCGCACCCTGATGATCGCGTGCGTAAGCCCGAGCGATACCGACGCCGAGGAGACCCTGAGCACGCTGCGCTACGCGGCTCGTGCCCGCTGCATCAAGAACAAGCCCATCGTCAACGAGGACCCGAAGGACGCTCTCCTCAGACAGTACCAACTCGAGCTTCAGCGGCTACGTAAGCTCATCGAGTCCAACGAGAGTCGCGATCCACCCGAGAGGCTCGAGCCCGAGCCGGAGATCTGCACGGAGGAGGTGCCCGAGCAGAGGCCCAAGGCACTGAGTCCAAGGCCGGAGATCGAGAACGGTGATGCCCTTGCCCTTGACTTTCTTAATGCACTCGCGTGGCTCGGTCCCGGCTCCTACCGTCCTCGAAGCACCGGGTGACCTAACGGGAGGAGAAGTTGGAGGAGCCGCGTCCGAGCCTCGGATCATCTTTTACACGGAGGGCAATTTGTAACGTGGACGTGTTTGTAATGGGTGGGCGCAGTGGCTGCAGAGCCGGAGCGAGACGAGCGCCGTTGGCGGAAACGCGAGGCCGCGAAGCAGGAGGTGCTGCGCAGACTCGAGAGGCTGACGATCGGGGGTGAAGCCCTGGGCGACGCGGAGATACGGAGACGCAGGGAGCGGCGCAGGAAGCGGCTTCAGGCCCTCGCCAAGGCCCTTGAGCGCAGCAGCGAGGAGGGCAACGGGGGCGCCTTCGAGGTCTATGGCCAACTCAAATCCACAGAAGAGGCCCTCAAGAAGATGGCGAGGAAGGCGAAGCAGCTCGAAGCCGAGGCGACAGACTTGCAGGTCCGTTATCGCGCGGGGCGTTACATCAGCCCGCTTACCTTACGACCTATTACCTCCAATCCCTTCTGACCGTTCGCCCCTCCATCAAAGATCCAGCAGATCCTTCGATATCACGCACTTTAACCATCAATTGCAATGGCTTTAATGCCACGGAGCGAAATAATCCCGTGAATCTCATGAATGGGGCGCTTTAACGGCAACACTAGACACTTAGCACGAGCACATCTTACAGCAACAAGGTATTTATCAATTTTAACGACTTCTTCTCGCGTGCCAACTATTAATTGTTGTGCAATATCACATTAGCAATTCCGTTGCTCTACATTCCATTACCTTATAATACATTACATCACGCAGTCAAAACAGCCGCCTTACGGCTCATTTGTCCAAAAGTGTGTTAGGGCACCGCGTCGTGTGCCCTAACGGCCCTAACGAGCCATTGCCACGTGATTATGTGAAATCCAATGAAAGTAATCTTGTTTGCACACTTATCGGAATCCCGCGAACGACTGCAGAATCTAATTAAGCTTGATTGGATATTCAATGGGTATTGCAGCGAATCGGTAGTTATTTTTATAATTGAAAAATTATTGCAATAAAGTGGTGAGTTTTCGGGGCAAGATTCGCAACGACCCTACGCCGAAGAATATGCACGATAAATTTCCCACGGTCGATTATCAAAAGCATGGCTTGATTCGTTCAAACTAAAGCAATGTTGGCAAGCGTGATGAGGGAAGGTATTCGCTTTAACTCGAAACAACTACGGTCAACAGCTTGAATAGGAATAAAAAAAAAAAAATTTATAGACAAACAATCGGATAAAGCATTCTCGTTTGAATGCACAGTTTTCCTTATGAATTATCACAATTATAATAATGCGCCAGTCGTCCGTCATCTCGACGCAGAAAAGAAAAATATCGTTAAGGATTAGCGATATTCGAAAACAACGTCCAAGTCACACAACAATCGTGAAACTCTATTTTGACACAAAGTCTTATTGCCCGAAAGAGATGCATAGAGAGAGAGAGAGAGAGAGAGAGAGTCGCAGAAGAGAGAGAGAGAGAGAGAGAGAGAGAGAGATAGAGAGAGAGATTCTTCGTGCGCGTGTGTGTGAGAGAATATTTATGGAATCGAAAGAATTTTAAAAAGATGAAGCCGAAAAGACCGTAGAAAGCGGACTGTAGCTGGAGATAGTCTAGAGGTTGCCTGACCCCCGGAATTAATCCGATAAACCACATTGACTCCTAGGATATGCGTTTCAGGCCTCCTGGGACGAAGAGCGCCGGGAGCTACTGCGTCGAGAGTTGCTCTCCCAGCAGATCTGCGAGGCGATGATTCCTCACCTACGCCCCGGCTGCCCCCTCCGGGATGTGGCCGCGGTCCGAGCGGCGGCCTCCTGGTCATCGGAGTTAGGACGCTGGCGGCTACCGGACGTTTCCTCCCGCATCCCCCTACCCCCGGCCCCGTTATCCGTCCCTGTCGAGCCTTTCAAGCCCGATCTTAACAACAACAACAACAACAACAACAACAGCAACAACAATAACAACGGCAGCGGTAGCGGCGGCAGCAGCAATAACGACAACAGCAGCAGCGGCACAGGAGCGGCAACAGCAGCCACCAGCGACGGGAGTCCCGACGAGGAGAGCGCGGCTGAGGACCACTTCGCCGAGGTCGGCACCGGCAAGACCAACATCGCCGACGTCTACTTCAAGCGCAACCGCATCGACAAGATACTCGCCCACGTTAGGGAGGCCAAGACATTCGGTAAGTGCTCGTCGAGGGTCGAGCTGGTGAGCCTCTTGCACCAGTAGAACACCAGCTAGCCTCCACTTCTTCGTCCTCTTATTCCTCTTCCTGGCTTAATCTCTCGTCCGCTTGGCATAGGTCCTCCGCATCCATCGCACTTTGGCTTCTCGCCTCCTCCTCTGACTCCCAATACTATATTATCATGCACGATTTTCTTGCCTTTTTGCTCCTTTTAAGACTCGCCGAAAGCTATAAGACCCCTCCCTCGACCGTCTCCCTCCCATCCCCAAGCCCCATTCGGAACAGTACGGACAGTCATATCTCGTTCATTCCGCGGCAAAAGTAATCGCATAACCCGGGCGAAGATAAGAAAGAAAGCTGAGCAGGCAGCTTCGCTCCTTTCTTTTGCCTAGTTAAGAAATGAAATTCGTGACATTGATAAACTTTTATGCCTGCAAAAGTACGAATGCCGCGCTAGAGTGCACAAGTCGAAACCCGTTTATCGATTTTAAAGAAATTATTTTACAGCTCAACTTTCAATGACACTAAACGGTACGAGCATTTCCAATTGGTCGCAAACTTTCAAAATGAATTTTTCTAAGCTCAAAGGCATAAAACGATCGAGGGGATATCGATCTACAATCTATCTATCTGTTCGATTAATAATCTAATTTCTCATCTAATTAATCAATTAATTATTGAAATTTTTTATTTCTTTTTATTTATTTATTGATTTATGAGAGTATGGGGGGAGTGCTCGAACGTTTTTGTATTATGTATAATTGCGTATGGGATTACATTTATTGTACACGCGTACAATAAGCCAATTATAATAATTATAAATTTAATAATTATTAATTTTAACAGTGCTCGGGAATTATCGCAGAAATTGTCGAGAAATCATTATTTATAAAATCATCGGATTTATAGTGAATCGTCGTGAGTGCGCAGCTACGGGTGAAATTATTGAAATTATTATGCGACTCACGGTTACTTGGCAATGTGAAGTATTATCGATGTGGAATTTAAAAACGATAATTATTAGAATTTGTCGATGGCCCCTCACTTCTAACATATTATCTTCAATCTTATCGTTGCCATATCTGTTGACAATAATTTTTAAAAAGTCCAGCTGTTAAAATTGACTTGAAGATAAACAAAAAATGGTACTCCAGATTAGTCTATAAAATAATTTACATGGTACAATAGCGAAGTATAATTTGTTTAACATTTCGTGTGAGAATTTTACGTTGCGTGCAAACCTTTGACGCGTCTCAAAATATTAACATTTATTAATTGCATTTCCAGTTCGTAACGAAAAGCTTAACTAATCGATCAATCAATATGCAATGCCCCTAACGTAAATTAAGCATTTTAAGCGCGCAGCCGTTAATTAAAAAATCTCGACGATTAAAAAGCAATGAATACGTTAAAAAAATAAGGGCATTACGATTAATTTATACATATACACGCAATTGCTATTAAGTTTTTGAAATTAAGATTTACCATTTTGCTGAATATGTACGAGGCGATGTCATTTTTTCGATCGCACCCCATCGATTCGCCGTCGACTGAATTAATTCAATTTAAGCGGCGATTGGCACATATGAATTTTAAACGTTGCATAAAATAACCCAGATCATGCATCGTTTGTATTCGAGGCGAGCAAAGGGGGCGGGAGGGAGTCAAAACAGCGCAACGAGCGGCATAAACGGTCCGACCGACACTCGATTATGCTAATAAAGACGCTTTATTTCTCAAATTGCTTTCATATCGCGACACTACAAGGTGTAAAAGCAATAATGCATTCCTATTAACTTGGCTTGTGCATTGCGAAAGAAAGCCAATACATGCGACCCGCGTGTCGCGCATCTCATTGTACAACACGCATTGGCTTATAATAATTGTAGCGCCTGAACGATGCCAATATCGTCCAGTGCGCTAGCGTTAAGCGACTTTTTTCTTTATCTTCATTTCTTCATTATCTCTTGTATTTATTTTCTTTTCTGTGTTACTTTACTCGGTGGCCCTCGTTACCTTACTATACCTTGCAACAAACTTTCAAGCTTATTTGATAAAATAAATTTTGTAATTATTAAAATTATGCGTGCGCGTAACTCTGAGAATTTTTATTATGTCTCAATTTCATGAGGTGCCAAATCGATAAAGCATCGTCAGTATTAATCGCTTACGGCTGTCAAAAAAAAAAAAAAAAATAAATATCTGTCGTTTCCAATTATTCATCAAAGCAATTGACAATATTACAATTTTATTATGACCAAACGTTAATTATTCACTTGAGAATGTCCTTTGAAATCGCGATCGACTTAATTCTCCTGCGCTTTAACGCTACGAACTATTGCAGGAAACGCGGAATAGTTGAGTGAAACAACAAAGCTCGAGAGTATTTTGGTAAAAATTTCGTTAAAAAAATCCGGTTACCCGGGCCACGGCGACCTCTACGGATAACCATCATCGTACATATTATCATTTCTCAAAATTCTCAGAATTACGTCTGAATACGGTCGTCGGCCGCTCGTGGTGATGTTTATCAATTGGTTGTTTTCAAATTGGTTAGGAGTCGCCGATCGAGACATGACTCAACGCTATTGGCGTCTAGCAATATTATAAAACTTCGTGACATATGATAATTTATAACTGATTATAGAAATGAGCGAGAATTTTAATTCGCGCATACGTATATTGGGTTAATGCCCGGTTTGAGGCTTTGATTGGCAATAACAGTCGCCGCGACGAGACGCGATAACGCAATGGAATCATAATATTTAACAATCTTAGGGGCTAATATCACCCAATTGATTAATCTATTCGTTTTCATTCTGTTGTTTAAAAAAAAAAAAAAAAAAATATATGTCTCAAAGTTAGCAATCCACAAATCAGTCGTGTACTTTAACATCGCATGATTTTTATCTCAAAATTGAGCTGTTTGAAGATCTTTTTTTTTTTTTTTTTTTTTTTGTACGCACGTTAATAATAATAATAATAATAATAATAATAATAATAATGGCAATAGTGCGAGCGATACAGTCTGTAAAAATTGAAATACTAAAAGGTGTATTGATTAAAATATCTACTACGCTGTGTAGATGTATCGACGTAATGTCTCGAAGAAGCTGCCGATGTTATTTATTACGAATTCACGATCCCCCTTGAATTTACATATACGAGCAAATGGGGGATACGAAGACTTGAGACGAATCCTTCCAACGCAGCATCCAATGCACGATAACGAGAGATTGGAAGATATGAGTTTGATCCGAAGACCCCCCCCCCCCCGCCCCCCGGCCGTACCACGGCACTTTCCTTATATCGCTAAATACCAATGCTATGCTCCTCTTAAGAATGCACCTTAAACGTCCATGTCGTTTCGCGCCCATTGTAGCACCCATTGGAGTGAATAACCCAGAGGAATGGGATGAGGATTAGCGTAGCGTATGGTCAGGACCGTGAGTAAAGAATTTTGAAAATTTGAAAGCCGCGTTGAACGCGATAGGAAAAATTCTCTTGCCGAGCGCAGCCGCGTCACTTTAAGCTCCAGTAAACGAGTGTCACATGTACTGATGCAATTCGCTGCATAAGCAATGCCACCCACATTTCACGCAGATCGCATAGCTTTGGTAGCCTGATGGATCGAAAAATCGCAGAGTTGGGGGCCCGAATGAGCAAGTCGGGCAGCTCCTCGGAGAGTCCCGGCCCATTGTCGGTGGGACAGCAGCATCCGCTGCAGCTCGGTTCCCTGGGGGCGCTGAACCTCCAAGGTGGCCCGGAGAAGCCACCGCCGGCTGTTCCCTTCGACAGCTGGGTCGACGAAGTGCCGGACAAAGCCAGCAGCCCGCCCTACGGCTCCTTCAACAGGACTCACCAGCTTCAGCCCCATCCCCGGATCCTCGAGGCGCTGCCCGTCTATCCGCCCATCTCCGCTTCCGCCCTGCCCCAGCGCTTGCAAGGACCAATCTCCTAGCTGGCCTCGACCATCCGACTCCAGAGACCGACGATGCTCAAGGTCCTTTAAATTTTTATCAAGGATCGCGGTCGACCAGCCTGGCCGAAAGCTCAAGTTCCAGAGAATTTGCGCGTACTCGCTTTTCACGGAAAATCCACGTTTCCCGTGCGCCAGTCGTATGCTCAATGTGCCTCATGCCCTCGTGGCTTTTTATAAAAATAATATTGAATAATGCACGAGTTACCGACTGACTTTTCAACAAATTCCCAAATTACTGCATGAATTTTACTTTAATATTTTATTTATTCTTATTCCCCCGCTCCGACCCGTTCCATCCCCTCCTATCCTGTCCCATCCCGTCTCGTCTCATCCCCGTCTCATCCCGTCTCATCGCGTCCCATCCACCTAGCTGTTTCCAATTTCTCGATTACTGTCTAACGAGACATGGGACGCGCAATTATTACCGAAACTCGGAACTTTTATTTCGTAAATTATAATATTACGGCCAAGACTGATTACGCACAGTTTGCACCTCACGCAATCCATTAGAATCGAATGATCATTTTATCGTTGATATAATCGTTTCACACTCGCAGCCTTGGATTATAAGATATATAAATTAAGATCGTGATTTGAAATTTTTGCTTTGAAAAAAAAATAATAGATTATTTCATGATTCGAAAGAATTAAGTCATGCTCGTATCTTTTTTTTTTCTTTTTTTTTTCTTTTTTTTCTCTTTTTTTTTTCTTTTTTTTTCTTTTTTTTTTTACTGGACTCTTGTAATATTGCTTACAAAATGTGCCTTATCGGTAATAGTATTCATATCATACGATAAGTAAGGTAAAACCTACTTGCTTTGCTTTGCTTCTTATTTGAGAAATTTAAAATTCGAAAGGTCGTTCGATTAAAATCATTGCGTAACGAAGCAAAAGGGATACTTGGACTTTTTATTCGTTTTTCCTTACGCTTATATGCTATGCATGATAAAAGCCCCAAGTACTGGCAACTCATCGTACGATAATGATAATTAAATATTTATTCATTATGCGTGTGAGTGCATGCGCGCGGCTTATTCATTGTGTGCGTGTGTGGGTGTGTGCGCGCGCGCGGTCGCGTGGCCAATCGCTTTACACGGGCCGTAGGTGGGATAGAGCAAAATTATTTCCTTCATTGTATTCTACGATAGAGAAATCTAATTGATTTATCGGGCCAATCGGTTCAAACGAGCCGCTCGGAGGCTTGTTTTGTGCAAAAATTATACAAATCCCATTGAAAAATTCTAAATATTCGTCACACGAAGGATGTCGTCGTTAACTGTGTCGAGAAATAACATAAAATTGAGTAGGAAAAAAGCGTATTTATGCGAACGTCATTCGCAACTAATCAGATTTTTTACAACTACGTTATTATTTTAATTGAGCAATATATATATATATATATATATATCACGCAAATTCTTTTTATCAACTGTATTTCTCAGCAGCAGCGGCGGCAGCAGCAACAGAAGAAGCAGCAGCAATCATCATAATAATAATTTTTGACAATTTCTCGCCTTATGTGTGTGATGCGCTCGTGCAATGAACAGCGTTGCCAAGAGCTACATTGTTATTAAACCTTGATAAAAAAAAAAAAGAAGTGATTGTCGAGCTTCTACAAGGGTCATTAGTAACCAATAATATGTAGCGCATCATTCACAATCGGTTTTCTACTAAATAAATCCTAAAAATCTTTATGAACATTAATGTGCGAATATGGCCGCGTACGCGAGGAAAAAAGGGAATAACTGACGTTGGCGTAGGTATAACAAAGACACGGAAAAGCAAATTGGCAACTCGGCAACTCGACCACGCGATTCCAAAAAAAAAAAAAAAAAAAACGAAAAAAAACGGCTATTTGTATTCGATGCCTATATTGCGTACTTACGTATTGCGTATAACAACATGTATGCACATTTTGTAGAGCAGATTTTATCATTGTACATAAAAGGAAATAAATATATCTTTAAATACATAATGTGAAGAAAGCGAAGGATTTATTTTCATAGCACGCCAATTTTGCTTGGCACTCTCAACCTACCAGCCTTGTGTGTGTTTGTGTGTGCTTGTGTGTGCTTGTGTGGGTGTGTGTGGGTGTGTGTGTGTGTGTGGGGGGGGGGGCGCGCATGCCGAAAGCCCAGCCTCTAGTATAATTTACATTTGCGCAAACGAATGCAGCACGACGAGTCACCGATTTTCGCCAAGTGCACTCTCGCGAAATTGTTCGCTTCCGCCAGGTTTTTCCGCGACCCGACGGCCTTGGCGACTTTTCACCGCACCACGGCTTATCTCAAACTGATTGGGAACTTGGGCTCGCGCCCCCATCCTACTTGTCCCCGTATCCTGCATCCTCGGTCCCTCGGCTGCCTCGAAAGCCCGATAGGCCAATAGAGTACAGCGCGAGGAAGACGCTCTCGAAATTGAACCTCGGCTTTCTTAGGCCCGTCGAGAGAAAGAAAGCGCCGCGAGTCCCGTTGAACTCTCGCTTTCCCCGCGAGAGCTCCATCCCGCGAGATTTCCGCACGATCCTTTCACGCCCGAGCGACCCGCCGTTAGCGCAACTCTCGCGAATTACGGGAAGGGTCGGCGGGAGGGAGGGAAAATAAAAGAAAAAGAGCGGCCGCCCGCGGTTACGCATGCACGGAGATGAATTTTCGAGAGAAAGGTGAAGTCAGCCAATTGGAGAGCTGCGGCCCCACTAGCTTTCCTCTTCAACTCTCGTCTCTGCAATAATCGCGCGTATCGTCGCCGCTGGTCTGCCTGCTGAGCGAACATAGGACTGACCGCGAGCGCTCGTGAGAGAGATAGAGATGGAAAGGGAGAGAGAGAGAGAGAGAGAGAGAGAGAGAGCGCGCGCGAAGGAGAAAAGAGCGCGAAGCAATTAAGAGCGAGTTCCTCGATTCAGCAGTGCCGAAGAAAATCAGTTGACGACTGCCTGCTGTCGAGTAAACGCGTGTTTAATGATACTTGCTTTTTCTGGACTATAGAGGCGAGCGTGAGAGGGAGAGAGAACGAGAGACGCTACCGTGATACTCGCTCAGTCTCAGTGCCGCTCGTGTACCTCTAGTGCGTCGGTTCTCTCTTCCTTTCGCTACAAATTTCCCTACTCTCCCAACTTCCCCTCTATCGCCAGCACCCATCAGCTAACAGCCTCACCCCACCCAACCCCCACCCGCTCCGATCCCTCGCGCCACCCTTAATCGTTCACTCACTTTCTATCGCTCTCTCTCTCTCTCCCTTTCCATCTCTATCTCTCTCTCTCTCTCTCTCTCCCTCCCGTTATCCCACTCCGTTACAATCGCTCGCTCGACTGTTTTTCGTATCTCTCTCTCTCTCTCTCTCTCTCTCTCTCTCTCTCTCTATCTCCTTCGCTCCACGCGAGATTAAGTATCTGCATTTTTGCGGATTACGGCATTGCGGATGTGCAGTTATCGCGAGTGAGGTTATGCGGGTCATGCTCTGACTCACGAGATGAGGATCTTCTGAAGAATCCTGCGGCTATTACTCGGTAATCATAATACCTTTGTTATTCTCTAGCTCCCCTTTGTTTGTCTTCTGCTTCTTTTGTCTCTCGTTTTCCGCTACTATCGCGCTCTGACAGTCACAGTATTGACTCGATGCAGCATGACTCCTCGGCGCGAGACTCCTTATTTTCACTTTATTTTTCGCCTTGTCTTTTTTGATTTTATCACTAACAAATAAATACTGACGCATCGTTGATTTATCAAATGTTTAGGACCGAGAACTTCGTTTGGCTGGCTCGATGAGAGCCACGTCTCATTGAGACAATGACTTCGGTTTTCTCAAAATTAATCAACAAAACATCCAGCAAGTATGGAATCCGTCAGGAGCAGTTGACAAGAGGCGTTGTCGGAGCGGTGACAGTTTTGTATTTAATTAAGGTCGGCTATCCCTACTTGGCTGCGAGTGCAAAAATTTGTATAAATCAGGTTAAAGGCTGCAAGAATGCGAACGATAATCAAAATAAAGAAGAAGCGAAGCAGCCGGTTAGTCAAGAAACGACGCGAAATGGGACGACGTCGAAGAAAAAGCAGTTGCAGAAGAAAGCTGTGGGACTGGACAGAGCCTTCCTGAAGCAATTGTTAATGCTCCTTAAAATTATGATCCCCGGATGGAAAACAAGAGAGGCTGGATTATTGACGTGTGCAACAGTCACGCTACTTGCTAGGACATTTTTGTCCGTTTATGTTGCTACGCTGGAAGGGCAGATTGTCAAGAGGATAGTCTTGAGAGACGTGAGTGGCTTCTTTTGGATGATGGCAAGATGGTTCGCGGTCGCATTTCCCGCAACTTTTGTCAACTCAGCCATTAGGTACTTAGAAGGCCGGTTGGCTCTGAGTTTCAGGTAATTAAATCACACGCTTTATCCGTACGTATTTTTATATTTATAATGCCGCTAAGTTTAATCAATGTGCTACAATTGTACGTGTATATGGTGTGCCTCTTTAATTTACTCATATACATTGTTTAGGGAACGGTTGGTCGAATACGCATACAATATGTATCTCAGTCAGCAAACCTATTATAGAGTATCCGCACTGGATAATCGCCTTGGTGGAGCGGAACAGCGATTGACCGATGATTTATCAGAGCTGGCAAGCTCTATAGCGCACTTGTATTCCAGTTTGACAAAGCCGTTATTAGATTGCGCACTAGTCGGTATCGCTCTTATCTCATTTTCCGCACGAATGGGAGCTAGAACTATTCCTGGTAAATTAGCGCTACCGTAATACTCACCTTTTCTCCTCCTCCTATTTTCCTATTCAACGACTCATTGCACCAGCGATTCTCGTCTGTAATGATGTCACTTTTGCAATATCGTATTCACATGTCTTTACAAGCCAACGATAGGCTAAATGAGTGTATCAAAATTTCTAATCGAGTCGATAAATTTATCCACGTTGGCCTCTTACTTTTTATAAATCTTTCAAACTATGTTTTATTCAAATCAAAGCTATTACGCGAGGAAACTTATAATTCTCCCTTCAACTACTTAAGCTTTATAATGCGAACAAATCCATTGTAATTCATTCTTAAGTTGCTGAATAATTACTCGGCTATGATATTTTGAATATTACACTATAATTTTAAACGATAGCTTCATACCCAAACATAGAGATTCATTATTCCCTATGCGGTCCAAAGTAATCATTTAATAATTGATTGAAAATTGGCTTTCAAGGTCCGCTATTGTCAGTAGTTGTTATTGCACTGACTGGACAAGTATTACGCTTAGCTTCACCACGTTTTGGTCAACTAGTCGCCGAAGAAGCCTCGCGAAAGGGAAAACTGAGAGAAGCACATGCCAGAATAAGTGCCCACGCCGAAGAAATTGCTTTTTACGGAGGCCATAAGGCAGAGCACAGATATCTTACCGCTGCTTATAAATCTTTAACCATGCATTTGAGAAGAATTCTTGCTCTGAAATTAGGATACGTAATGTTAGAACAATTCTTAATGAAATACGTCTGGTCTGGAACCGGACTTTTAGTTATTGCTATGCCTTTGCTTTACACATCGAATGCTGTATTACAATCTACTCGAAATACAGATGGAGATGGTTTGTATAATTCGTATAATACATATAAATATATGTGTACATATATATATATATATAAAGTTAATTATTAACACGAATCACAGGTGGTGTTAGCGAGCGTACAAGATATTTGACGACATCGAAGAATCTTTTAAGTTCTGGTGCAGACGCAGTGGAAAGACTCATGTCCTCTTACAAAGTACTTCATATATATTATTAAATTTACTCATTCGTCACTTTTAAAATCTCTTCGCTCAAAAGACAGCATACTTTATACAATGTTTTGTTAACTCTAGGAGTTGGTGGCACTCGCTGGTTACGCTGCCAGAGTAAGCGAGATGTTGGATGTATTTCAGGATGCAGCATTGTGCAAGTACCGGAGAAACGTTATAGCAACTTGTCAGACTCGAACATCCAATAGCTCTATCGCTCAAGATCATGAACTGGTCGAATTTCAGGATGGAATACCAATAATCAAAGGTACGTAAGCAGTACAGTTAAATGAATATAAAAAATGTTAAATTGAATTATAATGAGAATGGAAAACTCTCGTCCTTTTTAGGAATTGTAAGAGAAAGCGACGATGGAAGTATAAGTTTAATGGATGTGCCAATCGTTACGCCAAACTGTGAAGTCATAGTTTCTAGATTAACAATTGAAGTACATTTACCTCCATCTATATATATAAATTAAATAATCAAATACTCATGGGTGTAATAATTTATTGTTTATTCGTTAGATTCGACCCGGTGACCATATAATCATAACTGGTCCAAACGGCTGTGGAAAAAGCTCACTGTTTCGAATAATTTCTGGACTATGGCCGGTCTATGGTGGCGTTCTAACGAGACCTGGCGAATCTTACTCCGTGAGAACTGGTAGACCATCCTTGTTCTATATTCCGCAAAAGCCCTACATGACCGTGGGATGCCTTCGAGATCAAATAACTTATCCAGCGGAGTGCACGAAGGACGAATGTTCGGACAAAGAATTGCTCGACTTATTGGACTTGGTCGATCTTCGTGGGCTTGTAGAGAGAGAAGCCAACGGACTGGATGCACTCGGCGATTGGGACTCGACATTATCCGGAGGAGAAAAGCAACGACTCGCTATGACTCGATTGTTTTATCATGCACCGCAATATGCACTTTTGGACGAATGCTCGAGTGCCGTGAGCCTTGAAGCCGAGGGTGCAATGTATGAGACTGCTAAGGAAAAGGGAATTACTTTGTTGACAATTACTCATCGAGTATCGTCTCTATCTAAATACCATAATTTGATTCTTCGATTTGATGGTGAAGGTGGTTGGAACCTTGGGTATTTAGATGCCAAAAACGATTCAGCGATACAAGATAGTAAGGAAGATGAAAATTAAAACAAAAACGAAAAGCAGTTTCTGAAAATCTTGGGGTTTGTATTGTCCTAATTCCAACACATGCTCGACATATTCTCCACATTCATATGAGCCGACGATAGACTTTATATTTATCGTTTGCTTTTATATCTTTTAAAATACATTAACATCGGCAAGTAATTACTTTTGATTGATTATAACGCATGTCGTATCTATTCAAAAAAAGCTACTGCATTACTGAACTTATGTGGAAAAGAGCATTAAAAACATAATTATTGTTAAATGGAGAAAAGAAATTCGTTATTAAATGTTTAATGCATTAACATTGTGTATGTTATTTTGCAGATGATCAAAGAAGCATTCGTCGTAAAAATTTAAATGCCCTATATTAAGGTGACGCAAGTTACAACATAACATTCACAAATTTATCCGCTGCGATTGTATATAAATACTTTTTCAACGTAGATGATTATATTGTACAAAATATGAAATTGATTGCTGTATTTTTTATAGGAAGTATGTCAATTATATTTATATTTAAATATATTTTAAAATGTTCTAATATTGATGGAGGATGCTATAGGACTAGAGCGTTTTAAACATTAAAAATTATATTAGAGTATTTAAACTTGGCAAAATATTCTAATAGCAATAGAATAATACACATCTATTTTAAATTTAGGAATCAAATAGATATTGAATAATATATAAACTGTAAATTAAAATACTTGCTTATTAAACTAATAGACTCGTAATCTTGTAAATTTTTATGAAAATTCGATAACATTTAAAAGAAAAGAAGAATAAAATCGATGCGCCTGTCGGTAAGTGCATCATACGTGTATTAAACTACTACATTGATATAGAGAGTTTGAAATAATTGAATGAATAGAAATAAATTAGATAAGTAAATAAATAATTAAACATAGAAATTTTTATTCAATTAAAATTTTCATTATGATGAATATATTATAAAATTTATTGAATTGTTTTATAACAAACAAACAAATAATAATGATAATAAAAAAACACAAAAACAAAAAAACAAAAAAACAAAAAAGAAAAAACAAAAAAAACAACAACAGACTAAATTAGATTGAAAATATATAAACAGTATCTACATTAATATCAAATAGAAAATAAAGTTTTTAATTTTTTATATTCTTTGGCTTCTTCGCCAGTATGCCCGTACGATGAAATTGTGTATAAACTCTCTTTAAAAAATGTTCTGTTTTCTCAAAGAATTTATTATTGACCTGAACGCAATTTATTGTTATTAAATTTAGAATAGTGAGCTGTTCATTCTAGTATTATGCAATTTGTAACATAAAAAACTATTTATTGATTTCTATATAATTTATTTACTGAAATTTTAAATAATGTCGTGTAATTAATTTTTTGAGAAGGCAATAAAGTGATTTGGAAAAATGTAACATATATATTTATAAATAAGAATTTGTTAAAACTTGGCATATGTATATATAAAACTATATGGGTCTATTAAACTGTTAATTATAATTTTTTTCTCTCGCTCTTAACCCTATTACCATATTACAGTAATATAGCTTATAAGCTTTATTAATACTTTACTTATTGAATTTTACTAAATAATAAATGATAAAGAAGTATTTCATTACAAAATGGAGTAAATTACAACACACGCATAAACAAATCGATTGCCTTTTTAATATGGATTTGGTGAAATTATATCAATAAAATGAAAGATATCAATTATATTTGCCTAAAATTTATAATGACAATTAATTATGACATCATAAATATTTTTTAATAACGACACGACTATGATTTACGATGTTTTCAGTTGGTAAAACAGTATTTACATAAGATTAATAAAAAGTTTAAAATTTTATTTATGAATATAGTTTATTGTACACATCAATACTTAATTTTGTTATATTATTTGTTTTTCATTTAATTTATCTACTCATTACCGTACAAACTTAATGAATATAATATCAGCTATTGAAAAACAAATATTTCAATAAATAATATTACTTTAAAGATTTTTAGGCTAAATTATGCTTACGATTACGAAATATTTTAAGATAAACTGCCAGAGCCATAATTTTTATCTTTTTAGGACTTAAAACATTTTTTATTTATCTGTAATTACAAATATAATTGAATTGCCAAAGTTTCCCTTTGTCTAAAATATATACGTAGTGTTCATGAAAATAAATTATAACTTTTCTATTCATAAAAAATCGATTCCTATTCAATTAAACTTTAAATTATATAATATAATCACCACTGTTTATATATATATATATATATATATATATATATATATCAGATAATTTTTTAATGCAACTTTTATGTAATTTTCCATAATAAATTTTGACTTGTATATTATTTTTTTTCTAAATACAAAATTAACAAATTAATTTCAAACTATATATGATTGTCGATTAATTTTTCATACTCAGATTTTCAAAGATAAGCAATATATCGTAATCATTTCTAAAGATAAAATCGTAAAAATTCTTTGGAACAGTTCTTTAAAAGTAATTTAATAAAATTCATTCAGCGAGTTAAGTGATTTTGAATACATAAAGGAAAACTAGTAAGAAAACTATTGAGAAATATGGGATTCAATCGATGAATAAATATTCTAATACATAATTTTACATTTAATATACATAATTACAGTTATTTATTAATATATTATTATTGTTATAGTTATTTCTATTAAAGTACCGCTAAATCTATTATGCGTCAATTTCATTTAAAATAATGTCGTGTGCTTTAGATCTTGAAAGTTTAAATAATTGTAAAATGTATGCGATGATAGATTAATTAAATTTTAGATTTCTCAGGCAATAATAAAAAAAGTAATATGACAGAGGGATATTCGTATCTAGCGGCGGCTTAGTCAATTATGAAATTAATAATAAGTTCATGGTGTAACTTTAGTTTGTTGTTCCTGTTAGCATCGACTGGCCAACCGTGCACATCGATGCTTCCTGCTTAGGTGAATAAAGGATTTGCTCTCGAAATGTTTCTCTAGTGATATTTTCGGTCACTCATTCGATTTCCGGGATCAGGTTTCCTCTACAACCCTTACAGAACGAAATATGGCGCGTCCAATAAGGATACGTCAAGAGGAAGATCGTTTAATTTTTATTTTCTTTTCTCCCTGTATGTTATTCATAAATATATTTAAAATATTTTCTTCAAGCTTCTTGAGCATAAAGTTTTGAATTTCTTTCTTAAGTATCCTTCCGATAATCACAATAGCTTCCTATAAATTTCCATTACGTAGTCAAATCCACATATCGAAGAAATAAAATTTAAACAATAATTCGCGTTAATAAACATTCATACGCAGTATTGTAATAATATTAGAAATAATATTAGAAAATATCAGAGTCCTTATATTGGCAAATATTAATCAACGATAAAATAAAAATAAAATACTTCGACCAAGAATGAATAACATCACTCATTCTAGATATAAAACTGCCTCTGACGCTCTGACGTATAATCCATTGATATAGTCTCTGTCCTTGATATTATTTATTCCATCTATGTAACTTATTAAGATAATATTATAATCATCAACATTTACTTACCTATAAGCTTAAATGTAGCACAACTATAAGTGAAAGGAATGTATTAAGCAATGTGTTAATTATTGTTTAATAATTTATAAAATAGGACAGTGTTAAGAAAGTATTTTCGTTTGAAAAACCTTTATTATCTATATTAACCTATAGATTTATCTTCAGTTAATCATATTATTTAATAATAAATACAGGTAATTTGTAATCGTGAAAAAAATCAAGCATTACTTATTGATTAAAAGTATGATATAGCAGTTGGTGATTCTGTATGCAAAAAGTAAAATGTCTGTCAAACTTTTTCACCAATGAATTTTCACTTAATGGTCAATGTATAATGAAAAAAAAAAAAAAAAAAAAAAAAAAAACTAAAAAAATTAAAATTAATGAATTTTTATTATCCAATGTATGTTAATATTATTATTGCAAATTTCGACGTAAATATTTATACACGAAAGAAAATATTTATACAACTATACGCATAGCTAGCTACACATGTATTTATTACAATAGTCAGTATTACTTTTACTTGCATTAACATACATTATCGTTTAACCCATTCGATTTAGCAGATTATAAATTAATAATTCATGAACTATATTTTATGAACTGATCTTGTAATGTATTTTAAACTAAAAGAACCTGATATAAAATAAAGAAGGATTTTTACATTAAATTTAATAGTCGATATAGTGACATATATATTTTTATTCCTACTATACCCATTTTGTAAAAACAAGAATTTTTTGTTTTCATTAAGAAAGAAAAGGAAAGATAAAAGAGATAAAGAACTAAAGAAAACAATTTGCTCACACAAATTAATAAAATTATGCTCCAATTAGAAGTGACAAGGTTTTCTCTAAAATGTAAACAAAATTCCATTTTGTCAGGTTCATTTATTCACACGGCTTCTGATGATCCAGAAGAGCATAAAAACTGATATTTAATAGTTCCTCGAAAAAGAACAAACAAAAAACAAAAAAAAAACAAAAACAAAAAATACTCAAACTTTAAACTCTTGTATTTTCCTCCATATACATGAACACTCGCCTACATCAACAGTCAGTGAATAATATTTATATAAAAATAAATTATTCAGTAATTTTATTTTTAAATATTCAATAAAATACAAATCTATATATCTTCAATTATACGAAAATCATTATAGTATAAGCCAATACTTTTTGTATCAGAATGGTATTGAAAATTGCAAAAAAAAAAAAAAAAAACGTTCATTTGAATAATGAATCATCTTTCTCCTATGATTTTTGTTAAAAATCAATGATTACTTATAAAAAAAAAAAAAAAAAAAAAAAAAAAAAAAAAAAATTATCAACCACTTACTTCTTTCTCTCTCTCTCTCTCTCAATTATACATATTTATACATATTTATATATATATATATATATATATATATATATATATATATATGGAATATGAAATGGAACAATGTAGCAATAAAAGCTACATCTCGCGCTACTTAACATTAATGCGCACATTCTTTAGTTTTATCAAAGTGAAATAAATAGAATTTCTAAATCTCAGGCGAATCGATTTGCTTTGCCTCATTTGGCCAACGCAACGTCATTTAACAATTAAACATTTCTCCACTTTAAAGTCCCCCTCCTCCCCCCCCTCCCTCCCTCCCTCTTCACCGATTATAAATATATAAACGGAATAAAAGCACTATTATTATTATTTTTACATTTTTCGACGCATTACGTACAGTCTGGTTCCGAAGGCAATATTATATTACATGTAGACGCGATAGGTGTATGCGCGCCCCCGAGGCTCCGCAGCTCCCTCCCACACACGTGCAGCACACGCATGCACCCACAAAGCGGATAAGAGTGGCATTCAGCTAAAACTCGACTGGCCAGAAAAAAGTACGACACCTAATCATTTTCATGTGCCATCCACCATTAAGCCCTTGAGGTTTGTCTATGGAGCTCGTAAAGTGCGTAGGGGTGAGGTGGAGGTGGCCACTAATGAAAGCGGCCGAGCAACGATCGGAGCGATATAATTTCAGCGAGAGCCGATTACAAATTAAGGAGCACGAAGTAATATTTATTATGCTCGACGTCGTTGTCTCGGGCGCTCCGAGGCGTCCGCTGCTGAATTGCGAGCGAGTTGGGTTTGAAAATATGAAGATGAAGATCGGATAGAACGTCAGTTGTCGCGTCAGTCCTCCCAACAGTCTTACACTGGGCAGATCGTTTTTTTTTTTTTTTTTTTTTTTTTTTTTCAGAGAATAAAAAAGGCTGTCCGATTAGAAATCAATGAAGCATGATATTACACATTACACCTTTCGGCCGTTTCTCGACAGGCAATCGGAGGCTTAACCTGGTGGTGGTGGTACCTTGGCAACTCCCGACGATCCTATTTATCGATGGTGATTCGCGAGATCGATCACGGAATCGTGCAAAATTCGATCGACAATGATTTTCGTAGTTTTTAATTTAACAGCTAAATTTTGGCTTTCAACCTCGCCGAATACGGAGAACGCCGAATTTTAGATGAAATTCGTGAAATATTCCGCCCTGATAAAGCGAGCGTTTTAACTTCCTTGTCGCACGTTACTCGGTCAAACCGCGTTGGTCAACATATTTTAATACATAATTTTAATCATTTTTAATAATAATAATAATTATCATCATCGTCGTCGTCGTGGTCGTCGTCGTCGTCGTTATTATTATTATCATTATCATTATCATTATCATTATCATTATCATTATCATTATTATTATTATCATTATTATTATCATTATTATTATTATTATTATTATTATTATTATTATTATTATTATTTATTCATTTATTGCTTTTGTTATTCTAATTGGTGTTATTATTATTTTGAAATAGTAGCGGCAATGGGCAGTTACGATTTTATACCCACGGAAGGGTGAAAGGAATACTATTTCTTATCAATTTATCCATTCTGACTCAGTGCAACCAAAAACTTTGTTTTCGATGAAGCCCGTCAAGTGCCAGCGGAAGAAAGTTAGGTAACCG